CACCTTCTTTCAGAATGCAGGTGCAGGGCAAGTCTTAGATCTCTCCACTTAATGTAGCTTGGCTCATGTAATGGCAGGCTTTCACCTTATATCATCCAGACGGTTCTTGGAGCGGTGTCAGTGTTTGGAACTCTCCCCGCGTTATACTTCATCGAGACTTGGGGTCGCCGAAAGGTATTTATTCCTTCTTCCACTAATCGATTGGAGGGGGAATTAACTTTTTTTTCCCAGTCACTGCTCCTTGGCGCATGTGCCCAAGCTGTCTGTGCGCTAATTGTCTGTGCACATATTCGTTGGTAAACAGTGCTGGACTGATACTTCCGCTAGGTTGCTGTGGTTGGGCATACTACCCTTGCGCCTACTGGAACACCAATTTCAGCACTCACTGCTCGTAATAGAGCCGGGGGTGACGTTGTCATTGCTTTTGCAATATTTCAAGTGTTTATCTTCGGCACGACTTGGGGACCTACTCCGTGGGTATACCTCGGAGAGTCTTTCCCTCTTCGAGTGCGCCCCAAGTCAATCGCTCTTGGCAGCGCGACAAGTACGATTGCCCTCTGTTAAGATATTCAAATTCGTTGCTCACGCTTGTTCAAGACTGGTTCTGGAACTTCATGCTTTCGTTCTTTTCTCCAAGGATTGTCGATCGGTGAGTCTAAACTACAGCCAAATGTCCTGACACATTTCTCGGTATCTGAACACATCACCAGGATTGGTCCACTGATAATGTTGGTCTTCTTCGGCATGCTTGTCTTTGGATACATCTACGTGTATTTTGCCATTCCTGAAACAAAAGGTCTAACTTTAGAAGAGGTATTGATTCGTTCACGTTCTAAATTGCTGCCCATCTAACGAATGACCAGGTGGACGAGTTATACCGCTCTGGCATTGCACCCTGGCGATCAGTAGGTTGGCGGCCGAGTGAGAAGCATTATCATCACGAAGTGCATGACAAACAAGTTTCGGACTGTGGGAGAAATCCTAAAGATTTATATGCGCTGTAATTGATATGTATGATAGTGCCAATGTACTTGTACGCTGATTTGTTATTCTAGCGACTATGAGTAAGTTGTGTCTTCACGGACTGTTCGATGGGGAAAGACATGGAATGATGCAGGCATCAATAACAAGGCTGGGATCCACGTTGTTGTTTGCAACGCCTACTAGTGGTTAATCGGGTTTAGAAAGGGCGCATAGTACCACTTCATGCTGAACCAGACATGAAGTTTCACCAATCTACGTCAAACGTAGTAAAGACTGGTTATGAGTACTCAGCACCGGAGAAATCTGTCCGTAAGTCATGTGGGAAGTAGTCGAAGGTAGTCACCATGCGTACTAAAGTCTGTTTGCAAGGTGACCGCCCCGAATGCGCAGTCCGTGAAATCCCTATAACCGCTCGAACGTTAATCATGAAAAAATGACCATAAAATTGAAGTAAATGCGACTGGATTGCAAAAAATCACGGAAGCTAGACAAATGGGAGGACAAGAGTAGCATATATGACCTGTGAAAAGTATGATAGTAACATATCACAACGAAATATGCGAGGTCAAGAAAAGCTAATTCCAGAATGTGCGGAAAGAACTTTGTGTCGATACTATTTGCACACGGCTTCGCGGTTGTGTCTTGGTAACAACGTGACAAGCCCAGTTTGCTGTATTTCCAGGCCCCTGGAGCTAAAGTACCTGTCGGTGCAATCAGGTTAAGTGATGCGGCTACCAATGAGAAATTCATGTTACCTCTGGACTTCGTAACACCAGGAATGGTTTGCTCGAGGACACATTGCTATCCCTTCGAGATACTCTTCGACTAGGACGTCGATGGAAGGTCCCCATGAAGGAACGTTTGCGCGACCGTCGATGAATCGTTTCTGAACCTTGGCGTGATAACGCGCTGCCCAAGCCATTGCACCACTTATGTCGAGGCCAAGTTCCAACATGATAATACTGATCATGTTATGGTCTTCGTCCCCAACCGCTTGCTCTTTGTTGTACGAAATCATGTCCTGCGAAGATTGTGAGCACACCGCAAACCAAGACGTCTTCAATACCGATTCACATTGTCAATCAGAACTAAGTCTGTGATACATTCAATAAGATCCATGATCGCGGGATGGTAGAACACTTCATCAGGAAGGTCCATCCCCATCTCACACATGAAAAAACATGGTTTTAAACCGATCGTACACCGCCGGAGCTTCAAGTAGTCATCGAAACTGCGCCTATGACTTTGTTTACGGTCAAGAGCCTCGCCAACCACTCCCTGAAGGTATGCAGTAAATGCTTCAAGGAAGTGACGTTGAGAAGACAGGCTTGCGGATTGGATTGCGCGAGCCCAATACCTATGCAAAACCCCTTGGGCTTCAGATGATCATCAAATAATTCGGAAGCACTTACTGTCGCACCAATTCACCAAGGACGCATTCGCCCCCCGGCCGTATCTTATGAGGATTGTGTAGGACATCAATCACGATATCCACAATTTCCTTGATGACTGCCCCGTCCTCGACTGTGGTATACTCCTCCAAAAACAAGATTGAATTTAGCAAATCAAAGCTGATACGAAGGCGTTCTATTTTTCAAGAATGGAATATCAGAGTCACATAACACGTGAATTGCTAGGGATCAAGTACGAACCTCTTGATGCATTGGGATTAGCTAGTGCCGCTAAGAGAGCTATAAGAACGGCACATGTCAACCATCGTTATAATCGAGAGTTGGTAACATAGGTCGAACCAGTGTCGCATTCACTGAATGCCACCTGTGACTCAGGACTCAGCTGAGCCTTGAAATCACTGATCGAAGCATCGACTTCAGCTTTGAAATTCTCATAATGTGGATTAATGGTACGTGGCCAGGGCCAGCTAACCATAGTGTCTGGGAGGTATATCACTTTTGGGCGAGTATCCATAGCCTCCGAAATAGTGTCTGATGAGGAGTGCAAGAAGGGTAGATTGTTGCTGCTCTAGTCAGAGCTTCCAGCAAAACTTATATACCTGCCCAGGTCAGAATGTTCGGTCCACCTCACGTTAGATATTTCGGCACATGTGCTTATTCGACTACCGATAGGTGAAATCCTGTCAGCATCAGGCTGTAATTGAGATAGGGTCGGCTCTATGGAAGATTTAGTTAATCAGAAGCTAGCTATCATTGTCCGTCTTCCTTACTTCGTTTCTGCCGTATGACTTTTTTTGAAAAATAAGTCACGATAACTCCACATCTCGTAGAGTGCACTTCCGCATTTGACGCTTCGGCTAATACCACTTCCACCGGCAGATGCCAGAGAGTGAGAAGCCGAACGTTGCGCTGAACAGTATATGCTTTTGAACCGTAAATCCCGGCCTTTCAGTTTCTGCATTGCTAAAAGCTCATGATCACCGATTTGGCCATCACATACCTAACAGTATTTGGAATGAACTTCTAGTCTCCGAATCAAGAAACGTGATGATAGGTCGGTATACGTATACTCACTGAGCTGTGAGCGTGATAAAAGTTAAGCGAACTGGAACTTCGTTCGCTAGATGGAGGTTATAGTGCAACCCTGATTGAACTTTCTGAGAGATTGCTGGAGAGACCTATACCGTTCAAACCCTAGAACCGGACACCGGCTGGCAGTTGGTACTGTGTAGCCACACTGGCCATAGTGTCAGGAAGGGATATTAGTAGCACTGGAGAGGATCAGCGTGTTGTTTAAATGTCTTCAGGAAAATCTTTGTGAAAGCTATACTTATCCTATTTGGGTGTGTTTTATTTTTCAGGGATGAAATCGAAGTTATGTGATGCGTGGATTGCTACGAATTTTAATACTGACAAGCAAGATAAGGTCAACCAACAGAACGAACGAGGACATAATGATGAACGGCCACGGACCATGCTTTTAAAAAATGGAGGTTGAACACACCGATAAGTGAATTGAATCACAGATTGACTCAAGTCCTGCCAGTGAACTAGGAGAATGAACAGTTCCCTCCCGGATCATATTGCAAACTTGATCAACGAGCACTAAAGGTGATAAACCTAGTCATTTTCTGACAGTACTGGTGATATGTATGGGTGTTGTGACACGAGTTTTGTGCATGCAATCATTCATGATTCGACATGGTTCGTGCCAAGTTCGTGCATTCACTAGCGAGCATCTGAGTGGCGGAGTAGTCAGAATATCGGCAACTGCCGAATAAAATCTGCGCCATAAGAGGGTTTTTTTTAAAATCAATTAAAAAAAAAAAAAATCTAAAAACAAACATAATTCCCGCTACCTCTGTCTTATAGCTTGCTAATTTCACCGTTTTGTGGTAGATTCGTCAGATTTTGGCGACCCTATTTTTTGGGCTTTACATGGTAATTAGCTGTTGTTGATCGATCGCTTTCTATATCCGGTCTCGCCTTACGACGGCTATGGTCTCCTTTCTTACGCTCCTTTTCTTTAGCTACCACCATGAGCTCGTTCATCGCTTGTCTGCCTGTATCCGTCGTCTTTGACGTTTGATTCTCATTCTTCTGTTGTTTCTTCTATCGCTCGCTCGCTCGGCCATTCTGATTTAGGTTCGCGGTTTGCCGAAATTCTCACAGCCTCTTACAACGGCCGTTCTCTCACGACTGACGTTGAGTTCGAGATTTCGTGTAGCTTGACCTCATGTTGTCGTTGGCATGAATTGGATTGCCACATGGCGTGCCGTTGGTGGGGCAGGAGATGCACTCGCTGTCAACCCCTATTCACTTTCTAACCTCTCATTTCGCTGCCAAACACTGCCAACAAAGGTACCGCAAATCAGAAATCACGCGCATCAGATGCGATAGCAGGAGTGCAACTAGGCAAGAGAGTGAGGGAAGATTGACGTACGACTGATGAGAAAGTTGCAAATAAGGACGATGTGTAGTTATTGAATTTATGTAGTCTTTTGTTTTTTATTTCGCTCGCGCACATCGAACCCAGCGGTAACACTTGAATCCGAAACAGGTAGCGGGTTTTGCCACTTCAGCTGGCGCTATAGCTTATATATGTTATGTCACAAAATTAGGTTCGTCGACCCAAAAACAGCTGTGGGCTTCAGATGATCATCAAATAATTCGGAAGCACTTACTGTCGCACCAATTCACCAAGGACGCATTTGCCTTCCGGTCGTAATATCTTATGAGGATTGTGTAGGACATCGATCACGATATCCACAATTTCCTTGATGTGACTGCCCCGTTTTCGACTGTGGTATACTCCTCCAAAAACAAGCCACCACAGGTGCTGAGTTCGTTTTCTCAAGGACAGAAGGGCTATGCTTTGTGGTGTTCTTTCTTTGTGCCTTTTGACCCATATCAAGTTGTGCTTCAAGTTGACACTGCTTGTCTGGTCCGCATGTTCTACTCGTGTATTCCACAAGGCTTCTGGGCTCTGTTTCTGGGCTCTACTCTGAACTCTGGGCTCTAGTTTGCTAAGTGCAATCGAGGTGAGGCTGGGACTAAGGCGAACTCGCTCTGTTCACCAGTTGGAGTGGGCTATGCCCGAAGCCAAAGACTTGGAGAATCGCTACTGCTCCCGGCTGCTCTAGTAACAACGCTCGGCTCGGCCAACTCCAGCCCAAACACCGCCTTTCGCTCTCACCCTCAGCCTAGGGGTGGCCCTCCACGATATGCGCACACCTTACCATAACGATGAGTCTTCTAATGTGCGCAGGTGAGTCATTTGGTTGCAAAGCGACCTGATCATACTCACGGTACACGGGATGCCATCGCAGCAATCTGCATCTGTCTTGCAATAAGTTTCGCTACAGGCACTAACACTGACAGACGTATACGCTGATAAAGCTGCAATCGCGACGAAGGAAAAACGCATTTTCTGTGCGAGCTGATGTGGAATCGTCCAAGGGGTGATTTCAAGTGATATATACGACTCGGATGAGGGGAGACTGTAGGAAGATGACCAGCTTTTATATCCTGCTTATGGACACGATTCTCAATTTGACAGAATTGTGCGAGTTCTGCCGCATGAATTACTGATTTTAATCGTCTTCGCAGCGTTCTATCGGTGTGCTGCTAGATCATTTCATCCTGCAAAACAATAAAGACTTCAAGTTGGAGAATCGCTACGTACTGCTCCCGGCTGCTCTAGTAACAACGCTCGGCTCGGCCAACTCCAGCCCAAACACCGCCTTTCGCTCACCCTCAGCCTAGGGGTCCCCTCGTCCAACTTGAATAATTCCGCATATCTTCAAGTTACTAGTAACCTCCTAACGTGCGCAGGTGAGTCATTTGGTTGCAAAGCGACCTGATCATACTCACGGTACACGGGAAGCTATCGCAGCAATCTGCATCTGTCTTGCAATAAGTTCTGCTACAGGCACTAACACTGACAGACGTATACGCTAATAAAGCTGCAATCGCGACGAAGGAAAAACGCATTTTCTGTGCGAGCTGATGTGGAATCGTCCAAGGGGTGATTTCAAATGATATATACGACTCGGATGAAGGGAGACTGTAGAAAGATGACCAGCTTTTATATCCTGCACATACTTATGGACACGATTCTCAATTTGACAGAATTGTGCGAGTTCTGCCGCATGAATTACTGATTTTGAACCGTCTTCGCAGCGTTCTATCGGTGTGCTGCTAGATCATTTCATCCTGTGACTGGCATTCACTGGCTTATCTCGAAATTTCTACCGGTTGTGCCTATCTGTGTGCTGCTGGCCTCGGCTGACTCATTTCAGCAGGCCAAGGATGGTTAGCCAAACGATCGACTCAAACCCATTCTGAGCTTGAGCTTACTTGTCCACCAGGACATACACGAGTCAGACCACTGCAACAGCGGTAGTGAGGTAGTGAGTCACTACCACTTATAGCGTTCGCGTGAAATTATCTTGCAAGATAAATAATGACTGCTACACGCTCGGAAAAGAGATAATCACAGAATATGCGCCAGGGTTGTCCGAAGAACCGGAACAGTATTTACCCCCCATCCTGATTTTCACAGTTGCACTTCCCATACTCAGCTCCTGAGTAAACCAGCCCAAGCTTCTCCGCCAATATTACTTGTCTTCACTGGTGAACGACGTGCGAACGCTGTCGGGCGTCTCGCTCAGTGACAATATTGTGAGTATGAGAAGCAAAAATAATTGCCACTGGCAGAAATATTTCATTCTGCCAACAACACTAAATAAACCTAGTCATTCCTCTTGAATGCCAATAAGTCAGATCGCGCTAAAAGTTTGTTAGTAGTCTGTAGCCATCCGGCTGGGTCGTGGTACCGGGAATGCAATGGGAATGGACTTCCAATTTCATTCAAGACACGGGACGATAGGCTAAGCAATACACGACCATGCCATTAGTGTCCAAGTTGCACGGGTAAAATAGGCTTAATGAATGACAGTAGTACTGTGTATAACGACATCAGCAAAAAGTTCTGATACTAACCTAAGTGTAATATCATTACCTGTCCGTATATATCGTGCCAAACAATGAGCATGAAGTAAGTCTACATGTGATGCAAATGTCCAGTCCGATTACAAACCATAATAAACCATTAAATGTCATTTAAATGAGACCAATCCTCTACAACCTCCCCAGAAACCAGACCTAGGGGAATCATAGGTCAACGACGATCAGTCCAAAACGCGGCGAAGGGTGGTGAACCCAGAGAGAAGCATGATAACAATCATTGCAACAACACAGGGAAGAGCAGAGTTTATTCTAAGCTGGGGTAATGCTCCTGAGCATCCGGCACATTGCCACCCTGATTATATTCAAAAATAAGATCAACGGCAAGCATGGGCGAACGCAGACTCACCACTAGCTAAAGGTGTGTATCCCTGTGGCGTATACATAGCGAATATAAGCTCGCTGTTTGGCTCCATGTAACCCGGCGAGGGGAATGCGCTAGGGCCACCCTGAGCCCAAATATGAAGCGTGTAGCTTGCCTGGACCAGTGGAAGGCTAGGGTTTGCAGTCTGGTAGCCATATGGATACCACACCACGCTCTGAGCGGTCCCGGGAATGACACCATCGCTGGGACCTATGGGGTATGTGTTCCCGTTTGCTACTGCTGAAACAGTAAGGGCGGTGGGTGTCACAAGGATGCTCGAAAAGTTCCACCCAAACGTAACATATTCGCTGGGGGCAATTTTGTAGTAGGAGTTGGATTGAATGGGAGGCATGGTTATAGTGAGTGATCCAGGTTGAGCTCCTGTCGGGACGGTTGGCAATGGGGTACTCCCATTTACGAGGGAGGCTGAGCCAGAGATTGACGCTGAGGCTGAGACTGAGGCTGAGGCTGAAGCATTTCCATTCTGCTGTCTGTTTTGCAGATCAAAGTGAGGATGCATGGTTTGTTGTGCTCAAAAGAAGAAGAGCGTCTGTGAGGTAGCAGGGAGAATAGCAAGGAGAGTGTGGGATGGAGAGAACAGCTAGTAGTGTATCCGTGCACCTTGAGAGCATGACTTGCGGGTCACACGGGATGCATCCCAGTCCCATGCGGGCCTTGTTTTAGACTCTGCCGCAGCCAATGTTTTCCACGAGACGTGACTGGCGACCCCGAAAGAGCTATATCAAGCACTACAGTCACAGCCCTCAGCCTGACCACAACAACAAGGCGCTGACTTGGTCCCAAAATAGGATTGGGCTGAAACGACGAGATCACATCGAAACTGTGAAACTGAATCGTCTGCGTCAGCGAAAGAATTCCCGACCACATTTTCAGAGACTGAAGCGGGGGTTAGTCTGGCTGGAGAATGTCGACACCAAGCTCGCGAGGCAGAAAACCATAACAATAGGTAAACTTTGCGATTTGCTTGCATAGCGAAGCTGTTAAGCTAGATTCTGACATGACGGGTTGGTGTGACTTGGTTGTCAGGTCTGTAGCAGCTAGAGTCCCACGCATGCTAACAAAATGATATCTAATTTAGGAAGGTCGTGCCTATAATTATAACGGCCCTTTCGGGTGCTATTGCCATCTGCATCCCATCTCACTCCAACAAGTTAGATCATTTTTGAGGTTACACATGGAATCCATCTATAAAAGATGCGTGGACAACTAGTATCCTATCATCGACAAGAAGACAAATTCCTACATTCCCTTCATTTCTCTGCCACTGATGTACGTGACTTTTCTTTGCCTTTGCCTCTATGCCTCCGGGTCATTCATCTATCTATATCCCTAAGGCACTCGCCTTTCCAACGGTCACAGCGAGTAAAGTTTCACTCTGTACCTCTTCAGTCCAACGAGAAAGCGGATTTTATATGGATGTCTCACAATACGTTGTCGGCAGCCAACGGAGCATTTATCCTAACGGCCACATTTCACCACCACTCCTTTGCCTGCCACCAGCAAGCACATCGTCATTCAGGGCATCATGCACGTTATCGACGGAGATGAGTGTATCATCAAAACATTGCCTTAGGACCTTCGAACACGTTGGTTCGCCGAAGTCCAACTCTTCAATACATTCGAAAGCTACTGCACCCCCTGCATTAACTTTGCGTTCCATTCCATTCAAATCATTAGTCATGGATTGTGAATCGAAGATAAGTTTCCTCTACGACCTGGATATGCAACTACATTTGATAGTTGTCAAGGATCGACGCTAGCACGGACCGTGCTCAACTTTTGAACGGATCCCTTTCCTCACGGTCAATTGACACGGCCTTTTCAATGGTAGGAATACGATATTCCATCGAAGAGCCGACCGAAGGTATCCTCGTACGACTATTCTCATCTAATCAGACCGAATGAAGAGATACAGCACCCCCTCACATAAACCGTGTCTAGTGCCACGTCTTTCCTGCCATGAAATTTATATTTTGGTGGATAATCAAGTCCAGAGTCTACGTACAGATAGTAATGTGGGCGGAACACGGCAGAACTAGGGTTGTGTCACAGCAAAACCAAGCAAAACTCAAAAGAGGTAAATTATTCGTCGACTACAAACAACCATTGGTCGACATGAACGATGCGACATCCCAACCACCCTCTCCGCCTCTCGTACCATGATCGATCACCGAGAGCTCCTCATCAATAGACTTGGGCACCATAGCGGCCTCAACTCGCTCCTCATTACCTTCCAATATCTTAAGTCCGTTGATATCAAGATCAGTAAATTTCTCAACTACAATCTGCTTCTCGAGTGCATCAAACTCTGCATCAATCTCGTCAACCGAATAACTCCTGGGCGGCCGGGCCAACAAGCAGGTCATCGATGTCACTTTAGATCGTAATATGAGCTCCAGGAGAATCGAAAGGACAGTATTTACACTTGAAATATGATCTCATTGGATTAATTGAGAACATATTCGAGGCGGTCAAAATTGTTTTCGACGACCTTGGGGGAGGGCACCTTCCGGACTTGACTGGCTTAGCCACGGGCAAACGCCTCATTCTAATGTTCATTTATTGGGTACATACAATGAAGATTTGTATTGTGACTATACGCTTTATCATAGATTCATCTCACGCGTGCTCCCGTACCTTTTCAAGTCCTGCCGCAGCGAATGGCAGTAGTCTGCCAACACTACTGATACAGATACGTATAACCTCCTGCAGTGATTCAGGCCTCAGGGCTAAATTGGGTTTTGCCAACTACGTATGACATGGTGGGGGTTCGGCACTATATGGTACTGCATAGCATGCGTTCCGAAAATAAAAGTATGCCTGGAATACTATTGAGATCTCCTAAGTAGCTGCTGATCTCCCAGCATCCATTTTCGCATTTCCCCTACGTACATGACGAGACGATAAATTTCTGTCATCATCCACTGTGAACTTATCTCAGATTCCTGAGAACAGCTTCAGGAATTGTCGTGTCACCTATCGCAAACGGGTTGGAATTACATATTACCAGCATCTCTTAGTGTTCTGCCGCTAAGAGAATGTCGAGTAGAGTAAATCAAACTTGAGGTCTGCTGGCAATACAGATATCACCTGTCTGAAGGAGTCACTAATTCAGGTGCACAGCACATTGATCAGGACATAAAAAGCCAGCTGTCTTCCTACCGTCCCCGGGCCCCTCAGCTTTGTTTTTGAAGCTCATATCACAAATAATGCGTCTCTCCGTCATCCTCGCTGTTGTTGCTGCTTTCAAGTTGACAGCCTCTATGCCAGTTGTCAGTGATGATTGTCCCATCGACTGCGACGGCACTGTTCCTTGTTGCGCTGGCACTTCATGTCAATTAATGATTGGCACCCTCATGGATGTGAGTATGAGTAGTTTTCATCTGACCTCGTGGCTTACCGGCACGGCAGTCTTACATCCTTGTGTGTTTGGAGGACTGATTCTCCGGGCTACAATAAGTCGTGTTCAACTCTTGCCTGGTGCAGTGTGGTTGATTGACGACACGAGTCGGAAGCCGTTCGTTGCCGAGTGCTGGATTTCATGGTGAACAAATTTTAGCCTGCATTGCAGATGTTAAATTAGAGGAATGTGTCTGGAACAAGCTCGAGTGCATAGAATATTCAAACATCAGCCCCACCATGACAGACAGGGACGAAAATCAAACACTGTCTCCGAATTTTCCCTAATAGTTTTATATTTAGTATGATCTCCATATGAACATTAGCTCCTGTGTGTAAGTAAATAAATTATTCTTAAAATCTTTGATAGATTGACGAGCATCAATACGCCAGGCTGGTCACGGCGAGCCTAGCGTCAACTGTAAACCTTTGTTCTCATCAATGTCTTCATTGGGCATTTTGTCTTCTTGGTCTTCGGGATGTGTCAAAATGGTAAATGGTAAGTCAAGTGTCCATCAACCTGCAGCGGGTCGATATACAGCGCATTCAGATCAATTTTCGTACCCTAATCAATGCACCTTGGAGTATCCAGCGAGGAAAACTCTACTTCGGTTCACTGTCTTCCACAGTCTGGTAGAAATCCCTAGCAATGCGCAATTGCGCCTCTCTACCCGTTTCGTCTGGGGTGTCCGGGATAGCACGGATGATCAGATACTTGCGGCCTGTCAAAACATCTGGCGTGACCCTAAAAGGATCAATGCTAGAGCCAGCAGATGTTGCGGCAGCCAGAGCTGCATGGGACCCAATTGCTACGCCACCAGCTTCCTGGACAATAACGATACCGGCCTTGTCGAACAGGTGAGGTGAAGATATCGAGCATATACAACATGTCTACTTACGCAGACATCCCATGGCCTTGTGGAGAATCAACTTCGTGATGGTCGGCATAGAAGGGTAGCACACTCACCAGCAACCAATCTCCCTATTCACGTTGCATCAAGGAAACGTGTTTGTGTCGTGGAGTTCAACATATGCAATGATACAGCTCACCAGTACAAGTCTAGGCCACCTTGAGCAACCATAGAAATATTAAGCGCTGCACTACCTAGGGACCGTATGGAATGAGCCATACGTCCCCCTGCGATGCCATCTGCAGGATCGCCTGCGAGACGCAAGAATGAATTGGATTTTGGCACCAAGGTCTTTTGGCCACGGTCAGAGCCCCATTCGATGGCTGGGAAAGTAAGTTTGGATATTCTCATGCATGACGCGTGACGTACCCAGAAGAGCCTTCTGCAAGGAGGGAAGGGGCTTAGGGTTGGTGAGGGGTAATTTTAGAGGTTGGCTATTGCCACGGGTGAGGAATGACCCTTGACCTTCGATTCCGGTGTACTTTGTATAAGAGTCAGCGGCTGCCTTCGATGTCACATACTATGATACTGCGCACAAGATGGTCTAGGAAAGGGTTGTATATGACACCCAGAACGGGCCGCTTCTGGTAGATCAGCCCGAGAGAAATACAAGCGAATGGGAAGCCGTGGACAAAGTTTGTGGTGCCGTCTGAAAGTCAATGTTAGATCTCAACCAACTCAATAGCAGATCGAGCCTCACCGATCGGATCAACACAGAATGTCGGCTCATCCGTGAGCTCATTGCGTGTTCCAGAGGAGTGTGATTCCTCTCCGATGCTGAAGACATAGATCGATCAATCGGCATCATCCCGTTTCTGCGCATGTTATGGACTCACAAATTGAAGCCAGGGTAAACTTTCGCGATTTCGCTCTTCACGAGCTCCTCGACAGCCACATCGTATTCAGTGACCAAATCGACAGAATTCTTCTTTTCATTGACATCCGAAGTTGACTGGATGGCTTGCGAGCCTTCAAGAATTAATGTACCTGCAGTGCGTGCGAGCTTGACGGTGAAAGTCAAGACAGAGCGCAGGTCGACGGGCTTCAATGTTTGTGTATTAGTTGACATAGTGGTCGAAAGCCAAGTGGAGTAATTGAGCTAGCGCCGCTGAGCCCACTAGCTAGCCGATTTGCGAGAATGTTACCTCTAAGAGATCTATCGATACCATTAAGCTCGTAATTAAGTAGAAATCTAGGTGCATATGTATCATCTCCGCAGCGACTGGTGTTGTACGAGATTAGCTGACGGGACCACACCGCTACAACAAGCAAGACAGCAACAGCTTATGCAAACTCGCAATTCTAAGCACTCAGGCTCTTCTGGAAGTCTGAGGAAGGAATCAGATTCATTGAACTTGTAATCATGGACGGAGGGCACCATATATCTGGGGGTAAGCAGAAGAAGATTATAAATAACACAGTTTGTAGACGCGTGCGCACTTTGACATATGCCGGAGCCTGGGGAACGAGGGGGAAAAGAAAAGGCCGTTGCGCTGTATGGAAAGTGAGATCCAGACTTGTGAAGGCCAAGAGTAGTCGTCATCAAAAGTACTCGCATCTTGTAACAAGTTGTTGATTGTGCTGGAGCTGAGGTTACTGTGTCTGTGACCGATGGTATTATGATGATGTTCAGCCGAGCTGAAATAAAGCCTTGGGGATATTCAATAGTTGTAAACTGGACACCAAAGCATAGTAAGGTCTAGGTAGTCTGGAATCAGTCAACCATTTTCTCGAGATGAGGCTCAACGATGAACAAAGGTTGAAGCTTTGCGAAACCAATCCGCAAATGGAAACTATTTTTCACACGCCAGCTTGATCGACGCGCGTCGACAAGTGCATTTAACGCAGAACCCCCTCATAATTCGACATCTCTACTCCCTGTAAACCATGTTCTTGACGCGTTCCGAGTACGGTATGTTCATTACGAGTGCTCATCGTTATATGATAGAACTCATCGTGTTTGCAGATCGTGGTGTCAACACATTCTCCCCAGAAGGTCGACTGTTCCAAGGTACGTTAGATAACCCAACATCCTGAAATTGTTATCTGAAAGGAAATAGTCGAATATGCTATCGAAGCTATCAAGGTACGCATGACATCGCGCAACATGACAACATATATCTCATATTTCCTAGCTCGGATCGACAACAGTTGGCGTACGCACTCCCGACGGCGTAGTCCTCGCAGTAGAGAAGCGCGTCCAATCCCCGCTCCTAGAATCAAGCTCTATAGAAAAGATTATGGAAATTGATACCCACCTAGGATGCGCAATGTCAGGCCTCACAGCTGATGCTCGCACGATGATCGACCACGCACGCGTCACCGCCCAGAACCACGCTTTCACTTATGACGAGAGGATTAAAGTGGAGAGTGTCACTCAGGCTGTGTGTGATTTGGCATTGCGATTTGGTGAGAGCGTGCACGACGAAGAGGCGATGATGAGTCGGCCGTTTGGTGTTGCGCTGCTTATTGCTGGTGTTGACGAACTGGGACCACAACTGTGAGTGCAGTCGAGTGGATAGCCTTTTATACCTAATCCTCTGCGGAATATTGGTAGATACCACACGGATCCTTCGGGTACCTTCATGCGGTATAATGCAAAAGCCATAGGGTCAGGGTCAGAAGCAGCACAAAGCGAGCTACAAGACAAGTGGCACAAGGTATAATACTCCCTTCTTGAACGTGTTTTTTGTTATTCAATACATAATTGGACAGCAAATGACGTTGCTTGAGGCACAAAAACTGACGCTTCGAGTTCTAAAGCAAGTCATGGAGGAGAAACTAGACCACCACAACGTCCAGTTGGCACAGGCATGTGTCTTACGTTCTCTCCCGAATTCGTAACTAACTTTGCCACAGGTTACACCACAGAAAGGCTTCGCGATATTAGATGAAGTACAACTGAAGGAAATTATTGACGCCATGTAATGTTTCAGGTAGATAACAATATTAATCAGACAGCCCTTGAGATGTGTCTTCGCTAACATTTGGTGATCGCGAAACTTGATCTATGTTGAGAACTCATCTACTGGTACTAGATTTGTACCTATTATACAAACGGGAACAGCATAATTGTGACTTCAACTTTCTAGCCGACTAAAAGGTAGAGAAATCAGAGGACGAGTAACACCTGCGAGCAGCAGCGTGAGAGCATATATATACTGTAGCACATAACACAACGAAACGCGAGAGGTTCAAGAAAAGTTAGTATCAGATTGTGTGGAAGGAGCCGTACATGTGTTCACGCGACCATATGTTTGACCTTTGGCAACAATGGAATAAGCCTGGTTTGTTGTATTTCCAGACCCTTGGTGGCAAAGTACCTACAATTCCAATCGGGTTAAGTGATGATGGTTCATACCAAAGAAAAAGTCTCGTTACCTTTGAGACTCGTAGCCCCAAGAATGGCTTGCTCGAGCCCAGTTTGCTATTCCGTCAAGGTACTCCTTGACTAGGGCGTCGACGGAAGGCCCCCATGAAGGAACCTTCGCAAGACCGTCGATAAATCGTTTCTGAACTTCAGCGTGATAATGTGCTACCCAAGCCATTGCGCCGCCTCTGTCGAGGCCCAGTTCTGATATGACAATACTGATCAAATTGTGGAATTCGTTCCCAGTTGCTTGCTCCTTGTTGTACGACACCATGTCCTGTGAAAAATGTTAGCAGATCCCAAACTACAATGTCCTCAATATCACTTTACATTGTCAATAATTATCAACTCTGTGATGCATTCAACAAGATCCACGATGACGGGGTGGCGGAACACTTCATCAGGAAGGTCCATCCCCATCTCCAATATCGAGAAAGAAGGTTCTGCACCAATTGTTTTCCTCCGGAGCTTCAGGTAGTCATCGATACTGCGCATACGGCATTGTTCGCGGTCGAGAGCCTCGGCAACCACTGCATGAAGGTATGCACCGAAGGTTTCAAGGAAGTGACGTTGAGAAGGCAGGCTTGCGAATTTGATTGCACGGGCCCAAAACCTACCCAAAAGCCCCCGGGGCGTCAGATAATCATCAGATAATTTGGAAGCACTTACAGTCGCGTGACTTCGCCGAGGACGTATTCGCCTTCTGGTCGTATCTTATGAGGATTGTGTAGGGCATCAAACACGATGTCCGCCATTTTCTTCGTGACGGCCTCATCTTCAGAATCGGTGCACTCCTCCACAAGGAAGAAAAGATTCATCAAATCACAACCGATTCGAAGATGTTCTATTTTTTAGGAAAAAAATCAGGGTTCTGTGGTGCGTCAATTGCCAGAGTACGAACCTCTTGGTACGTTGGGATAAGCCAGTGCTGTTAGGCGGGCTATAAAAAACATGTGTTAATCATCATCAGAATTGAAGGCTCGTGACATAGGTCGAACCAAAATCACATTTGTCGAATGCTTCTTGCGACTCATGACTCAGGGCCTTGAAGTCACGGAATGAAGCATCGACTTCAGCCTTCACATCCTCGTAATGAGGATTGATGGTACGAGGCCAGGGCCAGTTAATCATAATGTCTGGGAGGTATATCATCTTTTGGCGAGCATCCATGGCCTCCGAAATACACTTTCTGATAAGGAATGCAAAAGTTGGAAAGGGGGGAAATTGGTATTGATCCAATCCAGAGGCAGAGTTTATATGCCTGCCCAGGTCAGAATCGACCTACGCCACATACATACACATTGAACAAATGTGGTGAATACTCTAGCCATGCCGGTGCTTATCCGTTTGTCGGCAGATGTAATCAAGTGGTACACAATATGAAAAGGGGATAGCAGCGTTGGGAACGTAGGGTGTAAGAATGCCGACTTACTAGATATCCCACAATCTACATGAATACTGTCCCAGATACTACTGAAACACAAGCTTTCAATATCACTGCCTTTCGACATAACGGTCAGAATCGGACGACAGTCTTTACTACTTACATAGGGTCGTCCTCGTGCAAGATTTGATGCCTTGTTTAGCTGGAGGCTGGCGGCCGTATTTTGTCTTCTGTGTACGGTTATTTCTAGCATTGCGGATCCGCTTGTAGATCATAAAAATATTGCGCCTGGTATATGGTTCATTCCCGTATTCAGACAGTCAACTAGACCACTTCGGGTTGCGGCTTAGCGTTGAAGCCTCGAGGTACGATGCCGAAATGTGGGGTCGACGCCTGTAGTGGTTGAGATAACATTAGTAGGAATGAAGCTGTCCTAATCAACGATAACAATCCAGACCTGAAACTAATCTACTGGACAAATTAGAATATCATGGTAGTTGACAGCCACGAACCATGCTTTCGTTTTCAAAAACAGAAAGTTGAAACTGTGCCCACGTCACGGTGTGGAGGCACTGGAACCAAGTAATTGGGGACCGCGTCAGTTTCTGCCGGCTACGATAACCGGTAAAATTCTAGGTAAACCGTGACGACATTCCGAATATTGTTGCCTCGTCTTATCCGTCATCCTCGTCATGAATCACTGCGGAAACGGAATTTTAGCTAGATCCTGATCAGAAGAGGAAGACAACACACGTTAACGCGTCTAATTACCGATGTAGTCGCAAACTTTGGTCATTCAGAATATTGAGAGTCTGAAACAACCCATTCAAACAGACACTTCCAACTTTTCCGACACGTCTCTTCGGGTCCCGTTTCTTATCTCTGGATACTCACTATTCCACCACTAACCAGCCCTGCAAATCATGTTCTCGCTGGCCGTTAGATTAGAATATCAATCGAATTTTTCACCTCGGCTAATTTTGTTAAAATTCTGTTGAAGTCTTAGCTCCTTGATTTGCAACCAACCATGGCCAGTACCACAAGCATCTCCGCTCAGTGCTCACCATGGCGCACTCCCCCACTAGCTGAGATGAAGGATGCTGCCCATACTAGATTTGTTGTGGCATGTTCACACATAGTCACTACTCGGTTACTGATCTCGCATGGGCTCCAGGACATATTCATGTGGCAGAGAAGAATGAAATCATGGAGGGTATATCGCGGTCGATTGTCACTCGTTTGCGCAGTGAATGTTGCCAGAATCTTCATTGTTATTGTGTACCAAAATTGGACGAGCAGAGACAGCATATGAAGTAGCCTGACAGGAACGACTGCCCTGCAATAGTGGGGATTCACTGGGAAACGTACGTGGTCAGTCATACTGAACGAGACCAAGTTATGTAAATCTAGGCTCCCAGAGCCTCTGTATTTCCAAATTTGGCATAACTTATGTATATCGTACGAACTGCAGCTTCATAGTATCTATCATAGCATCATAGCTTGTATGTATTCATATATGTATATATAGTAGTATCCATCATAGCTTGTATATCACAATATAGACGTGAGGATGAAGGGGCCAAAATATAAAGAATCTAACATATCATTCAACGACTGGCCCGAACTTGACGAATTGTAAATCGCACGTACAGAATTCAAAAAGTCATCCAGCGTCGCATCTTCTGAAGCTTAATCGACAGTTTCTTCAACGCTCATTTCAAAACTCTCGGCGAACTCTTCCAGCTCCTCGCTCAAGGATGGTTCAGTGGCTGCTTCAAGGTTGAAGAACACATTGAACTGCTCGTCCCACGAATCCGTGGTCTCGACAAGACTGTCATTGGGCTCTTCCAACGGCTTGCTGTCAGTCGAAGCGCCATATTCTTCGGGACTGTCGACAAAAGGACCCAACAGCAAGTTTTCAGTTGAACCTTCGCAAGGCCCTTGAGAACTCTCGTCGGTCTCTTCCTGGTTCGTGGAACCCTCAATATTGGCGAAGTTCCATTCACTTACACCAGACATATCAGCTTCAAAGTCACATCATCCAAAAGCACTATAGTACTCACGCTTCGTCATATTCGGGGGTTGGCGGTGGGGCCAAGGCATCCTGGTGCATCCTCGAATTGATATGATCTTGTCTGCCAGATCGTGGCACTGGAGGTGCGTCTCTGCACTTCGACAGGCGGTATCTGTAACAGATGTCGCCTTTGTAGTTGACCAAGTCCTGACGAAACAACTGTCAGCATGATGACGAAAACTGAACACAAAAATCCACTCACAAATTTGCGGTCATCAATAACATCAACAATCATCATTTGCTTCTTGCGCGGAGGAGCATCATCATTACCCAAGTCCACCTCCTTGCGCTTGCAGAGCATGACAGCGCTTGCCTCCGGGGCAGCTACTGGTGCTTGTTGCTCCGGTTGCTCCAATCGTTGGTTGTAGGGGAGCGGTACCAAGGGGGGTGCGATAGGATAGTGAGGCGGCGCAGCCGCTGGAGGTGCACCCATACCCTGGAAAGCGGGAGGATAGCCACCCCAGTAATGGGGAGGAGGGACTGGGTAGGGCGCTCCTTGGGCTTGGTAGATTGCTTGTGAATGTTGTTGATATAAATGTGCGTAGAGGAGCTCCGGGGGATAAGGATTAAGATGCGAGGGCACAGATGGAGGCTGGGGCATTACTGGGGGGTAAGGATGAGGCCAGTGTTGAGGCGGGCCTTGGATCGGCATTTGGCCCGTTTGAGGCTGATGGTACATGTTCAATTATTCAGGATGGTCGAGATAAACAATGGATGGAGCTAGACTCTAGCCTGTGACGGGACAAGATGAGCGACAGAAGGTGAAGCAAGTGTACAAGAGCGACTCACAAGTTAGATGGTGGACGTAGAAGTGAAGGAGGAAAGAAATACAAGTTGCAGAATTTATACTGTCGAAGAAGCAACTAGTGGACGGATTTTGTTGCATTGTGGTTAACATAATCCAAGTAACACAAAGGAGCGCGTCCACAAACCTTTATTTCATCCACAGACAGTAGAAAAGCCCGGATATTCCCTGATGCAGCTGTGGACATGGTTCAATTAGGTCTATTCACAAACATCGAACACAACGCGCTGGATCTTATTGATTCCAAAGTAGTCTCCCTTCGGCTGAGTATGATCTTCATGTGTATGTTCTTCAGACATTACCGATTGACTTAATATTGCCATCCGAAATTCCATACTCGATACCTGTCGACAAGATCCATTAATATAAAAACATCGGACAGGAAATCACATATTTTTTGATACTAACGATATAGACATATGGCCAACTACCAATAGAAGGTCGCGTCTCTGGGTTGTCGGGGACAGTCCACAAGGACGCCAGATGCAAACTCCACACCTTAGCAACCCATACAACCACTCTCTCCTCTCATCGAATCACGGGCGTGTATTATCTTCATATCCACAAGCGATCTGCGTCCAGTGGAACATGCCGGATCACGTCGAAGGACTGTGTGAGCGGAAGTAACAGACACCGTCAAGTCAAGCGGGACGAGTACCGCTGTTTCACGAATCGCCTCCCGGATGCATCGTTCTGTAAGGCCACCTCGTAACTGCGGGATGTTGGTAAGTACTGGATTTTAACTCGTATCTGGTTTGACTTGAAATAAATTGAAGTAGGAGGACATCGTCTGCCCGTCGTGGACTTGGGTATTACGAATCGAAATGTTTGTAGTTCCAAGTCCAACGGGGTAAAAAATGTATAAAGCATCCGCACAAGCCAATGTGCTTTTTCTGCGTGTAGTTGAGCGCCAGCAGTATCATGTATCTGACTCAGGATACACAGAGAACGATCGTAACCTTCAACATATCCATCAGAAGGCAATTTCGGTGCGTACTGTCATTGAAAGCATCCAAACCCTAGACCGACTTCATCCTACCCAAACCAGTACTGAGTGAAAGAATAGAAATTGAAAGGCTTACCCATGCTCCCGCGTCAGGCGCAACACTCAGGTCGAGCGCGTCAACATCAAAGCTTAGGTGAACAAGGCGATTAACACAGCCGAGCGCCACCTTGACAACCCTGCAGATGCCTACGTCACGGAGTCAGCGTCCGTGCCCGTCCCCTTTTATAAAAACTCAACGCACTGATCAACTTCAGGATACTACAAGCTTCGCTTCCAAAATATGGCCTTTTAGACGGTCCCGCAACCCGATGGAGACAAGAACCAGTTCAAGTCTCGCAAGGACGGAAGTTGGGGATGGAGCATGAGGGATCGAAGTTGAGAAACTCAAGGGGCGTTCTGTGTGCATCTGCTCTTGGTAGACTAAACTGTTTTTATATGTCAGCGTGGGCGTCTATCGAACGACTATTCTCTGTAGTCAAATGTCAGTTCTGTGGAAGGGATATTGTCTAATGACTGAGACAGTGCTTACTCAGGTGCGTTCAGCGAATTTCTTGTTCATGAAGGAAAGTTGTGGAGTTTCTTCAGTACACTGACTTAGAAGGGCTGCCTGTGTCGCTGCACTTGCTGGACCACCACATGTGGATAGAACAGTTGTTGAACCGACAGAAATCACACCTTGGGAGCACTAACATTTGTTCGAACAGATTATGTGAAAATCATAGTGGATAATGATGATTCAGAGGCGGCGATTTTTTCGAAGTGATTTGTGCAGTGATTCGTCAGGCGGGCTGCGGTTCAAGCGAAATGTCCTTCTACGCGTCATCAGAAACACTGTTAAGGATTAAGTTTATTGAGAGTTGATTGAGAGCAAGGCCTACGGAAAAATTATGTCAGCGACGGGAAACGCCGATTTGCTCTTCTGAAACGCGGCGAAGCAACTTTTCTATAAGCAGCATACTCTTTGACCCCAACCTCATCTATGATAGAATAGCCTATGGTATCATTCCTTGTTCGACCTCATCAAATCAAAAAATGTTTCCCTCCAGTAGTCCAAATTCGTTAATTTGAATGTTCTGAACTTCTTTGATCTTCTTCAACTCTTCGAGCTGCAAATTCGGCAGCAACGTCGTCGGATGAGATACTTTCTGTAGGCCATCCACATCATGAGGCTCGGTCAAGAGTGCAGGTATCCACGCGAAGGATACTTTAGGATTCCTTATAGTCTCAACAGCAATACCAACCTCTTTATGCGGTATAATGCAAAAGCCATAGGGTCAGGGTCAGAAGCATCACAGTACGAGCTACAAGACAAGTGGCACAAGGTATAATACTCCCTTCTTGAACGTGTTTTTGGGTATTCAACACATAATTGGACAGCAAATGACGTTGCTTGAGGCACAAAAACTGACGCTTCGAGTTCTAAAGCAAGTCATGGAGGAGAAACTAGACCACCACAACGTCCAGTTGGCACAGGCATGTGTCTTCTTAAGTTCTCTCCCGAATATTCGTAACCAATTTTGCCACAGGTCACACCACAGAAAGGCTTCGCGATATTAGATGAAGTACAACTGAAGGAAATTATTGACGCCATGTAATGTTTCAGGTAGATAACAATATTAATCAAACAGCCTTGAGATGTGTCTTTGCTAACATTTAATGATCGCAAAACTTGGCATATGTTGAGAACTGATCAACTGGTACTTGATTTGTACCTACTATACAAACGGGAACAGCATAATTGTGACTTCAACTTTCTAGCCGACTGAAGGGTAGAGAAATGGTGAGAGCATATATATACTGTAGCACATAACACAACGAAATACGAGAGGTTCAAAAAAGTTAGTATCAGATTGTGAGGAAGGAGCAGTACATATACGTTCACGCGACCATATGTTTGACCTTTGGCAACAACGGAATAAGCCTGGTTTGTTGTATTTCCAGACCCTTGGTGGCAAAGTACCTACAATTCCAATCGGGTTAAGTGATGATAGTTCATACCAAAGAGAAAGTCCCGTTACCTTTGAGACTCGTAGCTCCAAGAATGGTTTGCTCGAGCCCAGTTTCCTATTCCGTCAAGGTACCCCTTGACTAGGACGTCGATAGAAGGCCCCCATGAAGGAACCTTCGCAAGACCGTCGATAAATCGTTCTTTAATTTCAGCGTGATAATGTGTTGCCCAAGCCATTGCGCTGCCTCTATCGAGGTCCAATTCCAACATGACAACAGTGATCAAATTATGGTATTCGTTCCCAGCTGCTTGCTCCTTGTTGTACGACATCATGTCCTGTTGATGATGTTTAGATTAGCAGACCGCACACTATGACGTCCTCGATATCACTTTACATTGTCGATAATTGTCAACTCTGAGATGCAATCAGCAAGATCCACAATGGCGGGATGGTAGAACACTTCATCAGGAAGGTCCATCCCCATTTCATATATCAGGAAACATGGTTTGACGCCAACTGTTTTCCGCCGGAGCTTCAGGTAGTCATCGATGCTACGCATACGGCCTTGTTCGCGGTCGAGAGCCTCGACAACTATTGCATTAATATATTCATCAAATGTTTCAAAGAAGTGACGTTGAGAGGCTATGCTTGCGAATTTGATTGCATGGGCCCAAAACCTACCCAAAAGCCCCATCGGCGTCAGACAATCATCAGATAATTTGGAAGCACTTACAGTCGCGTGACTTCGCCAATAATGCATTCTCCTTCTGGTCGTATCTTATGGGGATTATGTAGGGCATCGAGCATGATGTCCGCCCTTTCCTTTGCGACTGCCTCATTCTCGGAATCGGTGCACTCCTCCACAAGGAAGAGAAAATTCATCAAATCACAACCGATTCGAAGGTGTTCTATTTTGCAGGAAGGGAATCAGGGTCCTGTGGTGCACTAATTGCCAGAGTACGAACCTCTTGGTACGTTAGAATAAGCCAGTGCTGTTAGGCGGGCTATAAAAAACATATATGTTAATCATCATCGGAATTGAGGACTCATGGCATAGGTCGCACCAAAATCACATTTGTCGAATGCTTCTTGTGACTCATGACTCAAGGCCTTGAAGTCACGGAATGAAGCATCGACTTCAGCTTTCACATCCTCGTAATGAGGATTGATGGTACGAGGCCAGGGCCAGTTAATCATAGTGTCTGGGAGGTATATCATCTTTGGGCGAGCATCCATGGCCTCCGAAATACAGTTTCTGATAGGGAATGCGAATGTTGAAAGAGGGGCAACTTGGTGTTGGTCCAGTTCAGAGCTTCCAGCAGGACTTATATACCTGCCAATGTCAGAATTGACCTACTTCAGATACACATACACATTAAACAAATGTGGGGAATACTCCAGCCGTGCCGGGTACGGACGCACAGCGTGAAAACGTTACCAGTGATGTGTCATTTTCACGTGGGGAATGTAGAGTCGTCTTGTACAAGATTTGATGTCTTGCTTAGCCGGAGGCTGGCGGCTATATCTTGTCTTCGGTCTATTATTCTTAGTATTGCGAAGCTGCTTTTCAATCGGATCAGACCACAACAATTTTGCACCCGGTGCCAGTAGAGTGCATTTCCGTATTCAATACGTCAGCTAAACCACTTCGAGTTGCGCTGAGCCCTGAGACCTTGAGGTACGGTACCAGAGCGTGGGGGTTGGTGCCCATTTGGGATATCAGGAATGAATCCTTATCAACGATGACACTCCATACCTGAGACTAATCCACTGAAGAATTAATTCAAACGTACATGATAAACGGGCACAAACCAAGCTTTGGTTTAAAAAAAATTGAAACTGTGCCCCCTCAATTATCCCGATACCATCGGCCTAGTGTAGCGCTGAGAACTTCAGTTCTGCAAGTTACAGCCGGAAAACTCACTGCTTAAACTATATGGGATCCTATGTAATCATAGGAATATAACGTGTGTGACATGACTCGAAATGTAAATCTGATGTAGTCGCAAACGTTGATCATTCAGTCTGAAGCAAATCATTACAATGTTTAAAACGCTCATGTAGTTAATAGTACTTCCGGAACTCAGAAAACCAGCGGACTTCGTAGATCCCTTCCTCCGAGGACCTTCAAATTCAAACCTGCCAAGTGCCGCGGATCATGATAGCGCTGGATTTGAAGTCAAGGACGCAGGCCCGCTGGGAATACGTCGGAGTTCAGTGCAATCGAAAGCAACCTTCTGCCAAGTCTGGCCTATTCGTGTCGGGAATTTTTCTTCCAGTGTGTGTCCGGCTAACTCGTCTCCCGTGACACTACCTACCAAACCTAGCCATCACATGATATTCACGTGTACCTCGTTCGATCTGCCCTTCATCATACACGAACAAATTTTGTGGAATATTGTCTCCTCTCACTCTCTTTGCGTGCATATGTCATACAGCACCATTTACCTCAATATTCCGAGTCCTGAGGACAGCCCCGTTCGTATCATACGGTGACGATTTGGAATGATGATAATGGTGTCTCGAACTCATCATCGCATGGGCCACGGGCCAGCGGCTCAGCATTCGTCGAGTTACAAAGCAGTTCAAGGACTCGGGGATATTTCGATGTTGAAGCACCTACCTCTGAGAGCAATCTGAACTTGAAGGTTTCATTCGCTCTGCATGATGAACAATTATTTATGTATCGCTTGCTTCTCGAGATATATAGTAGCGGTACTCGACTTCCCATACCGCAGGCTGGAGTTGTTCCTTCAACGGTTCGGTGTTCACTTCAGGATGCGGGTTGTCTCATGCTCTCGCAAAGGAAGGATTATGTTTCAAAGGAATCTGAAGGCAAACTTGATTCGTGTTCTCAAATGATCATAGTTTTGACTCATGTGGTTGTGTAGATCTCAAACGTACAGCTTCTTTGTGCTGATGGCGGTTTCATGCTTTACGTGGATCCTACACTACAGCCTGACCAACTTCTCAAGCTGACAGGCGATGGGTGGATCGATGCACCCCGCATTACGGCAAATTAGATCCGTGGCAAGAGCAAAGGCAACGTTATATCAATTGGAACGATCATGCTTCAGGTGGTTATGCAGTTTATTTTCCGCGCTATCCATTACCTCGGCATCACCGAGCTTGAAATGGCGAAGCTCGCTTTTGCGGTTCTCAGTTTTCTCACATATCCGATGTGGTGTGATAAGAAGCCTTTGAATTCGATGTACATGTCCTTACCTGATGTACTGGAAGTCAACCACGTCAATACCAGGGCACTCCTTTGATGAGTATGTTGTTGCTTCGGTCAATCCTGCCGCTACTGATTAAATCTCCCTCAGTGTTGAAGATATTCATGAGTCCCTCCCTGTGTTACCGCAGATCCTTGGATCACCCTTCAGATGCTGGCCGGGCCCGATTTCGACTCCGACTCATCCACATCCCGAAAGCAATACCTCACTTCTTTGTACTATTATGATTTCAATGTAATGTCTCATTATACCGCAATTAAAATATCTGATTACTTTGAAGGTTCAAATGACTGATATGTATGTTGTCACAGGCAACGTGTAGTCTGTATAGGTTGGGCGGGATGACCCAGTCCGGCCACCGGGCATGTTGAATGCACTGCAGGCGGACAAATTGATGACTTTACATTAAATCCTACCGATATGGATAGCTTAAAGCGCGAGGCGTCGCGTCGCACCCGCCCATATATTTCTTCCAGGATCCAAAGGATCTGGGCCTAAGCCTCATGCTCGCTACTATATATATCCCATCAAGAGTCTGGAACAGGACAAGCATCAGAAGCCTCTTTGTGTTGCTACCTGCCCTCACCATGCAGGGCACGGACCATTTACTGCTACTCATGATGCTTAAAAGGCAACTTCCTAGGTAGAACTAGAAGTACAAACGGTCACGGTAGCGGTATCACTTTCCGACGAGAGCTTTCGCAGGCGAGAAACCGCTAGGTCTCAAGAACCCTTCCGAGCTAAGCGAAGGGAGGCAGTCTTAACCTGGATGGGAAACTAGACATAATTCATGAGTTAGATGACAATATTAACGCCTTTCCTGACATCTCGTCGCATTTGAGTGAAGGGGTAAGAGTAGTCGAACATGGATACTGGTATGAAAAATCTAATTAGCGGAAAGGTATGGTAGATCTGTACTACTACTACTAAGTCAACAATCGTAATGCTGGACGCACGGTATACATTCTGAAAAGGTAATATGAGATAAAAGAACAGTATTAGAATTCATGGGGGGAATGCTTAGAACGAACAATTGCGAATAACAGATGAATAAAGAGTGTGCATAATAGTAAGGCGGATAATGTAGAAATCCGTCAAGGGAATGATTGAAGCGCCCCGGGAAAGGAGCGGTAAAAGGCGTCACATCAAGTGAATGTTTTTCAAGTTTACGGTAACGATGATATCTCGTACTATGACGAAGTAGTAAGCAATCAGCCCCTGAAGACAGAACATCACGAACCATTCTGTATGATTGTAGCTGTCTGCCTGGTGTTAGTAACTGACGTAAGATGAACTATTGTGTAGCGTTAGAAGCGAATCATCGGATATGAAGGTTTGCATACTCTTGAATTCCCTCTCTTTATTCGACGAGAATGTTTGGTGAAAGCTCCCAAACTTGTTATAAAAGTCTGCACAGAATTACCTGAGAGGTACTCCTAACAGCAAGGATCATTACCACCTACATGAAGATACATTTTCGTAATCATTTGGTCTGTCACCGTAGCGCGGCATATGGTGGCTAAGTCGGACACCGCTCTTGAGCTTTGCCTTGATGACCATCAGCATCATTACCTTGCTTTCAGATGCAATAAACAACGGACCTGCAAAAGGTCGACCTTGTTTAGGAAAAGAATGATGCTGACGTGCGCAAGTAGTTTGTTTGATACGACAGATTTCCATAACTGCAGGGAGTCTTCTAGTCTGTTCACCTCTGGATCCTGTACAATTTATCAGTGCGTCACGTAGAGATGAACAATCAGCTGCTAACCTCTGCTAATACCTGATCGAAAGCAGAGATAGGTGCCAGAAAAATAATCGCATTTACTGCATCGTGATATATATCAATTAATTGATCCTCAAGAAACTGAGTCATATAATTACCATCTTCGAAGTAAGGTGCCCAAGCATGCCGCTGATTTCGGGCACCTCCTACGTCGTAAATCTTCCATGTGGTGAACCGGCGCTGGGAATCGGGAATTGAGAAAGAATGCTCGACGACGCCCGTAGTCTTGAGCCGGGCTTTCAAGACATCCTCTAAATAAATATTAGAAATAGCATGTTTTTGAATAACAAATTGACCTACGGTCGCTCGGAAAATACCGTAGAGCGGTGATACGGGATATTTCGTCCAAAAAGCTGATTGTTGTTAAGAAAAATCCGATATCAGATACGAAACACCCACAAGCCACTGCCCTCTTCCACTCTGATCCGTTTCTCCCGTAGGCGTTGTTTGACACTGGGGTCCTTCCATAATGCCAGCATCGCCTGAGCACAAGGATTGAGCACATGAACAGGGTCGCTTGGATCGTCCCACCAGCCCTCAATCTCATTTGTGTGTGCACTCTTAGGACTCTTGATCCTATTGCCAAGGGAAAAGGCCTTTTTCCAGTTCGAGGTATGATGAACGCTAACTTCCACATTCTTTGATTTAGACGAGCTGTTGCTTGACCCACCAGGAGAAGGAAGGCTCGTTGAGGGTGAAAGTGGGGAGGATATCTGCGAGGGGGGTATGGTGATGAATGGCGCTGGTCGGCCGTTCTTGCCAATAGTGACTTGGGTATTAGAGTTGCCGTTTGCATAGAGACTCCAATCAGGCTTTGGGGCAGTGCGGGTAGGCTCGTCCTCATTTGGAGATGATAACATTCGGATCAAACGTTCCTCCAGCTCCCTCAGAGGTTCCAATGCATGACGATACTGGGGGTATCTGAGGACCCTGGTTGCAGAAATAGCGGAAGACTGGCTAGTAAAAGAGATTGCGCAACCAGAAGCAGTCTCCTGATCCTCTGGTTCGTCTGATTCGGGGGAGACAGCGTCGAGGATACTAGAATTAGAAGTCGTTATCACGCATGCTACTAGATTTGAAGTGGTAATAAGACTCACCGGCGAATGGATCGCACGAGGTTGAGATATATTACAGCTCTCCATGCGATTCGGTCGGCATGGAAAGCAGCAGTCGCATGCATCAATTGAAATTCTGGATGAGATGAGTCAGTGCGGCCCAGACATGTCCAATGTGTAAATAGTGAGGAAAGCAGTTTCCTGAAACATATAGTATTGCGCGAAAGACAACCAAAATGAAGATTCTTCCGACCAAGTACACCTTCGTGCTAAGGGATTGCCACTCGATAGTGTAGGTCCAAGCATGATGTAGTGAAACCAACAACATATCTCCAGACCGCGACGACAGTTTATTGTGTTCGCAGCTCGTTTTTGCACGAAACGATAAAGAAACGAAGGGGAAAGTGTAGATGACGATGACTCACGTTTCAGGGTCGTACTCTTGCCGCTCTCACTCTGCCCCAGAATCAAGACTTTAATTGCAGGTTTTGCCTTGTTCTCTTTCTTCTCTGCACGGAGCATTTCATCAATTCCGTCGCTGACGCGCTTAGCCTCGGACTCTGCTTCCAATCTTCTTTCACGATCTTCAGGACTCTCGTTTGGAGGGGGCATGAGCGCAGCAGCCAGTGGATCGGAAAGGGATCGGCGTCGGTTTGGCTCCAGAGGCCGAGCCATTGTTGTGGACTACCACAAGACGGGCACAGAGACAAGAATGGTCTGAAGAGAAAGCCGAAAAGCTAATTGTGCTTGAGAAATGGTTTTTATAAGTGCCAACAAGCTAACAAGAGAGGCTAGTCGCGACAAACGCTTCCAAAAGAAGGTTCGCACGTGGTCATTTTTTCTGAGTTTCTTTTCTTTTATATTTTGTTTCGTCACTTATAGGGTTACCTTAGACTTTGCTTCTGGGCGATATTAAGTAAAGACATCGACAGCCAGTCTACCAGTACACCGCGGAGAGCACGTAGAAATAGCGGCGGGATGATATCTAGAGTTTACATATACACTGGAAATATCCGACCGCCGATGTCAAATCGGTTTCTTCAAAACTTCCCGACGTGCATATGGCGAGCAAGATGGGAAAAGCCTGCTGCCGAGCGAAGAACTACAATTTATTTGCTGGCCATTCTCGGTAGCTTTAGAACCTCTCCTTATCGCTGCCTTCTAGTAGGCGTTGGCATCTCACACTAGGGTTACGACCTGGAACAACTTCGCGAAGATCAGCTTCATTATGTAATCTTGTTTTACTCTTCCTCCACTTTAGCGTTTCGAAGACAAGACCGCAACCCATCGACATCTATTGACATGCAGGGTCGAACAACCTCTTGCATCCCAACACACACAACTCGTGGTGTCTGTTTCCTGTACTGTCCTTGAGCGGTGATGCATCTGTCCTGCATCATGATGTTGATCTCAATCCGAATCACTGCCATAACATGCAATTCTCGAGCGTTTGGGCCAGCAATCCAGGTATTCACGTCTCAGGCTCCTCCCTTTGGACCACATGTTGACTGTCATGCATATTAGCAGTATCACGTTATACGAACGTTACCGAACTCCTTCCTCGTAGACTACGAGCCCGGATCGATTTTCCGAAACGTTGACATCGCATCATCAAGGGGTAACATAACAAATAGCCTACACTGCACTCACTATGTGGCTTGCAAAAGTAGATATCATCCCGCGAATGAACTGATATGAAAGTGGCTTTTGCACCCTCGTTCCCATCTTTTCGTATGCCCATTCGAGGACCCTTTGTTCGTTCCGCATCTCTTGGAGGTGGCACTTTCGATCCTCTCCCTACGGGATCATCACCTACGCCTACAGCTGCAGGACTGCCTAGCCCACCAGCCTCCATTTCGTCCTCCAGCTACTCGCAGGATGGGACTCAAAGCACAAATCAGCAGAATGCTCAATGGTCGACAGCTCCGTCATCCTCGCCGGCGGTATGGAACATTCTTTCATCTTGTGGACCATATAAGCTTATTTCATCACAGACATCCAGACGAATCCCAGGAACCTCAATAAGCACGCCATTCCCATCATTGTACGTTCCATTATCTTTATTCATCATAGAAATCCAGTAATTTTTACATGGGCGCCATAAGGTCACAGTCAGATGGCACATCAACTAATTATAAAGGGCCAGAGGCGAGCACGTATATATCAACATCCATTTCGCTTTTTTCACACTCATCGATGAGCACTGATGGAGGAACACCCACAAATGGGCCACCGTTTGGCAGCGGAATCACTACTTTACCACCACCTGTACGCACGGGCGGGACAACTTCTCAAACCAGTCCTACTACTTTCGGCCCTTCCAATAGCGATCTCGCTACGAACGTCTCGTCAGATACCCCTAGTCCTTCACCTCCTAGTGATGAATCTTGGCTCAAGCCAAAAACTCTTCCCTCAATAGAAATGCCGAGCTCGTTGCCTTCATTCATATCTAGCTTGCCCTCGTCCGTATTCATCCCGCCAACTTTAACCATACCGTCTTCGCCACCTATTAATTTATCCACATTCACTTCACTACTTTCATCCATACTCGCCTCGCTACCTCCAACTATACCGGCCATGCCATCTATACCACCCACAAGCTACTTGACAAATGAGCCACCTACAACGTCGGACACAAATCTTTCCACTTTGCAGAAACATACGTCCAGCCAACAGTCAACTTCACCTTTGACCTCGCCAACTCCAGGTAATCCCAAAAATGAAATTGTTACCCCGTAATCCTCACAGACTGGTTCCTCTGATCCAGGTGGCTCTCCGACGATGGTGCCGGGTGCCCAACCTTCCTATGCACCTCAGTCTTCCAACAGAAGCCCTGTGAATACCCCGATCCCGACTGGGAATGGTTTTACAGTCTCATCCATAGGTTCACCTACGCCATCCGGTAGTCCCGTGGGCAACCCGTTATCCACTACTCTTTACACATCGTAAGTTATTAGAACTATGACAGAAATGAGTTGACCTTATTATCTGATTCCAAGCTTCACCGGAGGTGTGGAAAATGTCATAAGCACGACGCCGCCCATCCCACACGGTGGGTATACGCTTTCTCCGATCACCTATACTTCGATTGGTACCTCCACTATTGTAACATACTCCTGCTCTGGGTCTATCTCAGTACTCCTGACCCTGACATCGACATCGACGTCCGTAATTCGTACCACAAGTCCAGTACCAACTTCGGGAGTCAGGTACGTCATTTAAACCGTTTCATATTGCATGTTACCCACTGGAATCAAGGTCAAGTGAAGCCCCCATCATTGGAGGGATTGTGGGCGCAGTCCTTGCACTTTTGCTTCTCGTTATTGCAGCATGTTATCTCATTCGCCGCAGGCGGCGTTCGCGGGCTCACCGGCAGCTTTATGCCAGTGACCTTACCACCCTCTCTCTAGCAGAAACAACCATAATGCGTGAGAATGACCCTTTCAGGCCTATGTACAGCTTCGTCGTAAGAGGGCAAGGTGCGAAAGAGAGTCGTGGCGACCTGCATCAGGCCTCAAACTCCTTTGGCTCATCGACCTTCCCTCACCCCTCAATTGCCAGCTCTCCGCATAGATTATCTCGTGGTTTGTCGGACTCAATCTCGCACGAGAATTTTGACAGAGAGTCAAACGATGGGGACATCTCCTTAGGTGACCAATCGGAAGGCACTTTCGCGAGTGCACCGAGTTTCTACGCGTCTAGTAATGGGCAGCCTAGCTTGAACGGCGGTATAGGTATCGCGATCGGCTCTCAATCAAGCATGGATTTCCACTCATATCACACTGCCGCTACCATGCTTGACACGGGGGCCCCTATTGTAGATGTCGAAGGTTGTTCCACACCAAGTCCTTCGGCATTCCCCGTTCCCCCGGTGAATCCGTTCCTGGATGGCGCCCGAGTCATTGACCTTCCTTATTTTGAGGCCTCTCGTGCACAAATCCGACAAGCGGTCCCAGTTACATTTGAAGACGCCGCACTAGCTCCAATGAAAATTCGCCAGTTCTCAGAGCCACAAGCGTCTTGGGGAATTGCTGCCGGAAACCCTGAAGATCATGATGTGCCCACGCCAAAAGCAATTCGGAGCTTCAATACGCTTATAGGTGATGAATACGACGATGATCGATCAAGTCAGGACCTCCAAACGCCCACGCAGTCCCGTCCCCAAGTTACGCCATTCGATGATTCGTCCTTTATCATCAATCCATTTTTATGTGAAACGTCGCAGGAAGGGTCTTGTGATGATTCAGGGGGCAGTGACAGCTACGAGACTGTCTCCATCAAGCCATATCCGTTCCAATCCAGGGACAAGGGCAAGGGACAAGAACACCTGTCCGCTGATTTGATGGATGATCCCAAGAATAACAGATTGTCGGATGCCAGCTCCGCTCTTCAGTACCCCGAGAATCCAGTAAGTCCTGAAACGGTTTTAACGAATTTTATTAATTTATTACTGATGCGACGACGTGTTCAGTCACAGTGTGGTCTTGCACTCTAAGCAGATATCAGTATTTATAAATTATTATCGGCTGACCCCACGTCACACCCCACACTCTTTTAATTGTTGCGGACTATCTTATTCGGACCCAAAGTGGTTTACATCATAGCGGCGCTGGGTGCGGTCGATTTCTTCAGTGACATGTTTGACATGATAGTACGTAAGAAATGCGCAGTTCCCGTTATCATACATGGCCACAAACTGACATGGCCAAAAACCTTGGCGAATGATCATTCCATCTGGGAATGTTCGTAATGTTCATTACCGCTCGTTGGAACGGATGTCCATTCCAGATCAATAATGAATCTGACCGTGCGTTGATCAACGCATCACGATCGGCGAAGTAAATATGGCGGTGAAAATTGTTACATTGTAATCTTCTATAAAGAATACAAACGGGCAGAGCACACACTGGTGCCACAAGGACGGTACATAATTGGGAGTTATCAACACATGCAAACAGAATTCTCCAGTAAATTTTCAAGTTCCTCTCTTCCTCCACATCAACACTATTTTCATGTTTGATAATCTCAAGCACCTTGGCTTTGTTTTTTTCTCTTCAAGTGCAGTGCCCGGCCAGATAATCTGATGGTAGGCAAGTCGATCGTTCGTCGAAACGCGTTTCATTTGCAGTTCCTCGTGAATTCGAGTCTGAGCTCTGTTCATCCTCCGTCCTCTTCCCTTTTTCGCTTGGCTCGACCAACGCACCATTGTGTACAGGCGCCGCATTGTCCATTGCAGCTCCTGAAGTGATTTTTCGGTGCAATATCAAATAATCCTACCTCCTGTCGCGTGCAGACGTATCGTATATGTACACGCAAGTAGTGTGTGGGATGGATATGTTCACATGGTGTAGTTTGGTTGAATTAGGAATCGTGTCTTCGTGAGTGCTAACACATAGTAGGATGGCTGTGCACATGGCGATAGTCTTGCTTCATTGAATATATGTTTTCGTTCTCTGTGCTACCAGTTCAGGTCGAACGATGAATCATCGAATGTCCCTGAGTTGTTGTATAGATGTGCTGTGTGTTGGCTATGTGAGTATAACGTTCATACCCATGATGGTCATTGAGTTTCAGCAGCAGGGTCTCCAGTAGAATCTATCTTGAACTGTCACTTCATGGCAGTGCATACTCTGTGCATCCCAAATGTATTGTATCTCTCGCAACCGTCCTGTGCATCCACAGCACCAACTGAACCTAAGAAAGGAGCACATACAACCCGACCCACCTCAATGCAGATGGGCGCAAGCGTTTCCACTCTTTCTTATAACATAGACGCGGAGGATCTGCCTGCGATGTCTACAAAAAGCGCCAGCGTGTCGCTTCCGATGCGAACTTCTTCATCCCGCGATCGCCGTTAGAATCAACGTGCTTTGGCTGGCATCGCTGTCATTGGTTGTGAGTAGTAAGTCGAATTCGAATGCTCCTTTAATTCAGCAACTGATGTACTTTTTGATGTTTCGTGTCCTCGCATGTACACATTGCGATTTTAAGCTGAACCTGTGTCGTGTGCTCTTCCCGTGAAAATTTTCATTGTGGTCAACAAGCTCTCGCGGACTTGGCCACACGTATTTCCAGTCATCTCTTCTGTCCATATGCTCTACCTTGAAATTAAATCAGAACCGATCCCGACGCTTTCTATAATTCGATGTCGTTGGCTCGCAAGTGGATCCAGTCACGGCTGCAGCTCCCTCCATTTTTGTTTTCGCATTGATCAGAGTGGTGCGAGCAGGATGACGAGGTGGAGCTGGAGCATGATGAAGATCTTCATCGTTATGTCATATTTCAATCTCTCTGCTGTCGCGAGCAACTTCTTTCGACAGCTTAGGACACTATGTGTCACAGGGTAACATAAATGGTTGTTGCAAGACATTCTACAGGAATTTCAGGTTTGTACAAATGTGGTTTGGCAGCTACTAGCTTGCCCGTAGCTCAACTTGAAGTAAGCTGACCTCACTTCAGGTTGTCGAACAGTCGAATCGACGTCGACTCAGCCACTCTTCGTCCCACTCAGATTCTCATTGTCCCCATGAGCTTAATTTCTGACTATCGAGATCAGCGCTTCCAGTTCAAACAGGATGGTGCCCCTTCGGAACACGTGAACACTAACGGGGGCCCCGCTCTGATGACGAAGTGGACCATATATCATCCCTTTCCGGAGCAGGCAGATGATTTCGCGAATCTTCCTGGTAGAAAGCCGCGGTGGCGAGACCGTAATAATATCAACGGGGCCCGCTCTGATGACGAAGTGGACTATCCGTCGCGTCATCCCTTTCCGAAGCAGGTAGATGATTTTGCGAATCTTCCTGGTAGAAAGCCACGGTGATGGGACCGTAATGATTGGGAGATATAATTCGATATAATTCAATATTGAGTATCCGCGGTTGAATGATTTGTGCTTCAATTGAATGTATGTTCGAACTTCGACGTTCGCGAACGAACGATAAAGTTATTTGTCAAATACGTATAGTAGAAGTACGCGTCGCACGTCTCCTAGGGCCCTAGGTCGGAGTATACAATTGTACTCTTCCAGCATTAGTTACGATTGGGAGTCATGGTTCTGGAACTGCTGCCAAGTCCATGTTTGTAATGACAATTTTTGTTTAAAAAAACGTAAAAATCTTGAAGCCAGTGCTGTATAGTATTCCGCCTCTAGCTCAAAGAAGACGAGGAAGAAGAGTATATGAACAATATTTGAGAGACAGAAATGAGGAGGGCACGTGCACTATACTAGAATCATGAATGCCTGAGTATGCAAGACTTGGAAATATTCTTTCTAGAGAGCTAGCTTAGTACGACTAAATAGGTAAGTACTACTAGAGATTCAAATGAGCGTGACATGAAGCACGTACATGTCACACGTGACAGGACGCGTCTTAGATATCCGCGACGATGAGCATCATCCCAAATCCTCCGCGCTGGCAAGCTAGCGCTGATCCTGCATCCATAGATGTTCCAGGTCTCGACACTAATGCATCTATTAATGACCAGATAGACCAGATCGAACAACTCATAACCATCAAACTTCAGGTGGTGTCAATCATGTGCTTCTTACCACCAAACATTGATAAAGTTGTTAGAATATCGACACGAATTTCTCAAAGATTCAGAATATAATGGCGACAAAGTTGCTACCAGCCGTGAAGCGATACGCCGTGAGCACTGAACCCGTTCGTGAAGCTGCAAAGGTGAGTTTGATTTGTCTTGGTTTGTTGTCGATGAAACCTACTATATCATCTCAGTTCTGGACATCGTTTTACGAGAAAGCTGCACAAGTACATATTCCTACGTATGAAGATTACTCCTCTTTGCATGAGCAGCAGTCAGAAGCAACATCCCAGGCCGAAAGTTCCCCCGCCCCACCCGCCGCAGAGGAGTCTTCTTTGTTTAGTACCGACGATGATACAACGCCTTCTCATCAACGCAATCGCACTTATGGTCCAAATTCTACTGCATCTGAATCTTCTTTCATGCCATCGAATGCAGTATCATCTACCCCGGCTCGTACTGGGTTGCCTGGCCATGATATCGTGGATGATCAACCTTCTTGGAGTGCATCACTAGAATCTCCACTCGTTCGGCTTGATCGCGAGCTCCAGAATTTTACCATTGGGGAGGATACTAAGGCCTCAGCGGGTCAGGATCTTACCTACAACAGCTTTACGTATGAAGAAGAAAACACTGTCCAGCAATTTCTGGACAAGGGAAAATCAAGGGATTATTCGCATGAGCACTCTGCCTCGCAGAATGCAGCACGCTCCAATCTTCCATCCTTACGGGTTCCGCCCAGTGCGATCCCCACCCCTCGTGGCCTCCCAGCTAGCGCAAGGATATCTCCATTAAAAGTCAAGCCCAAGACACCCGTGGCAATCCCACAACATCTACAGGCATATCTTCCTCCGCGCAATCATCCAGATCCCCCGTTGCCATCGCCTAGGAGGCAACGATATGAGCGATCTCCACAAAAGCCATACCCTCTGTTATCATCGACCTCTAATTCGTCATCCATGCTGGATATACCATCTTTAACGAGACCATCTGATGAATCACATAGATCATTCGATCAATTTAACGACTCTTTCGACGACTCAGCAGAACTCATGCGTGGTCTTTCGCCACCGCGAATGGTTGCATTTCCGCGCGGACCAAGGTCTAGCGTGGGACTAGGCTTGCTACCTCCACTTGGTCGGACACCAGGCAAGGACTTACACCATGCATTGGGAAGGACACCCAGGAAGGAAGCCGCAGAGCGTATACGTCGTGACCTTCTTGGAGATGTTCAATCTGATCACAGTTCCATCCGAAGTAGTGCTACCGTAGACCGATTTGGTGGCTTCAAGAAATTTAGCTACTCCATTCCAGAAGGCACAGAAGATACCATGTCTACGATCCCCACCCCACCATCCATAACACGATATACCCGTCATGCTTATCTCTCTGAGCACGACAGCGACGATGCGAGCTCAAGTTATGCAAGTATGATGCGCAGGACAGGACTCAGCGTACCCGAATCCGCCTCTACATCAAACTCCCATTCTGCCATATCTCACCAAAGTCTCGAAACAGCATGGCTTGCCCATACCTCTCAATCACAGGCCCTTCACACCCCAGATCCATACCCTGACCTTTTACATTTTCAACAAGAGGAGCCCAGTACACTGCAACCAGACTCAGACTCAGATTCAGACTCTCTTGGCGAGACTGCACACCCAGGACAGCCGTCAACTGCGTTCCTAATGGCTTCCGCGCGCAATCAAGATGCGGACGATTCGTTCGGCTCGTCGAATTCAAACCACTCCAACGACTCGCTCGGAGAGGGTTTTGGCGACGAAGGTGGTGCGGTGCATCCATTTGCACGCGCTGTAGAGGACGATGGGGATGGATTTGAAGATAGTTTTGATTCTGTTGATGGTGATGGTGACGAGTCGGGAGTGCAGGAAGAGACTGTATTTGGTATCCCCCCTGCACAGCGCAAACATGGAAGAGGTCTTGGTGAGCTCAGGCTTCTAGGGGAAGATCTTTTGCAAGATACGATTGGTATCGGAAGTCAGCTGGCGAAAGTAGGGAGGATTGAAGAGAGTCCGACTCCTTATGGGAGGGTTTAACTGTATCTCAATCATAACTACAAACTTGCTTCATACATGTTGTCTCGTCAGACTCGTAGCCAGTCCCTACTCGGTCAGTATTAGCTTGAAATTTCAAGTCCAGAGGATGTGAAGACGCCATCAGTTCATTTGACTAAAATACAAATAGATCTCAAACCACACCTACTGCTCATCTTCCTTGATGTTAACCAACTCCCGTCCCTCCTCCACCATCTCCCCCTTCGCACACCCCACCGCATCCACAACACCCGTTACCTCAGCACGCAACACGGTCTCTGTCTTCATACTCTCCAACACCACCACTGGCTGACCCTTCTCAACGCGATCGCCGATGCTGACTTTCACTTCTACTACTAAGCTCGGCATCGGCGCACGCAAAGCGCCCTTGGATGAGGTGAGAACATCCTGGCCGAGGGAGAGGAGGTACGCAGGAGGTGAGATAGCTAACGTAGTCTTAGTTCCCGACGCCGAGAACACGTGCAGGCGTTCCATGGTGTTCGTCGCGCGTGATACAGGGTGGGAAGAAGGTGGGCGCTGCGACACGATCGTGATCTCTGTCGAAAATCCGTTCAAGGTAGTGCTCAACCTAGTGGGCGAAACCAGGCGAGCCGAGACACCTGTGAATGTCTTTGGCGTGGCAGAGTGAACAGTTATGTCGAAGTAGCCTGGAGATCTGGATTCCAGAGAAACTCGGGTGGGATCTGCGGAAGCATCATCGGGCTGGATGGAAATGGTCCGCTCATAAACATCTCCGCCAAAGCGTCTTGAATTCAGTGTTGTCCATGGTGTCGAAAGGCCTGTAGACTGAATCGGATGTTCTCGTAGTGCGACGAACAGCGCTGCTTGTGCCAGTAACTCGCCTGAGGGACTTGTGTCAGCTGGGAAAAGGTCTTCGTAGTGTTTCTATTCATAGGACACTATAAACTTGAACAACACGGAGAGATGAATAGACACACCTTGATGAAGCCGGTTTCAACCTCTCCATTGATAAATGCGCCATTGCCAGCAAGCATTCTCAAAAATTCAACATTTGTCGAGACACCGACCACTTTATATTCTTCAAGTGCACGACGAAGAGCACGAAGAGCAGAGGTCCTATCACGTCCATGTACCACCAGCTTGGCAATCATCGGGTCGTAAAACACGCCAATCTGTGCGCCCTGCGTGAACCCTTGTTCTAAGCGCATCGACGGTGCCACATGCGTTGAGGTATCAGGTGACCGCTTCACCGAGTCCAGTTCTGAGCACAAATTGTCGTGAGGTAGTGATGGGATAGGAGGGGCGAAGACATGAGTTGGTTTCGGCGTGTCAAGGTACAATAATGGCCCGGAGTCAGGTAGGAAATCGTTCCGCGGGTTCTCGGCATATATCCGAGCCTCAAACGCATGCCCAACCAGAGGGATTTGTGCTTGTGAAAGTGGAATAGGATTACCAGCTGCGACTTCCAGTTGCCACTCGACAAGGTCAAGCCCAGTGATCATCTCTGTGACAGGGTGCTCAACTTGCAAGCGAGTGTTCCTGAGATTTCATGAGCGATGTGCCGCACGACTAGAAAGTACACACATTTCCATGAAGTAGAACTTCTCTGTATCGTTGTCGAAAATAAATTCCACGGTCCCAGCACCTACGTAAGTTCACCGCCTTTGCAGCAGCAACCGCTTTCGCTGATAAGTCTGCACGAAGATCGGGGCTCAAGCCAGGCGCCGGGGCCTATCAAGGATCGTCGATCTATACGCTTTTGGTACAAACTTCAAACCTACCTCCTCGATAATCTTCTGGTTTCTTCTTTGCACGGAACAGTCTCTCTCCCAAAGACTTACAGCACTCCCAAGTGTATCTGCAAATACCTGGACTTCGATATGTCTGGGACGCTCAATATACTTCTCCACAAGTACATCTGCGTCACCGAAGCTTTTCAAGGATTCACGCTGCGCGCTAGCGAGAGCGTCCTTGAACTGAGATGCAGATGAGACGACACGCATGCCCTTGCCACCGCCACCATGAATAGCTTTAATCAAGACTGGGTAACCTGTGTGATATAACGTGCTAAGCGGGAAGGTTTCGGAAAGGGCTGGATGAAGGTGCATACCGATCTTCTCGGCCTCTGCAAATAAGAGGTCGACGTCTTGGTCTGCACCATGATAACCTGGGACGCATGGAACGCCAGCAGCTGTACAAAAGAGTTGAATATAAGGTTTTCAGGAGTACTGTGTATGACGCATCATACCAGACATGATATTCTTAGATTCACTGGGAAACATTTAGCTCTATATCAGCATCAAGGGCGCGTGACCTGACCTCTTCGAACCCATACTGACTATAGCGCTGGACGGAGGACCAATGAAAACGATACCCTCTTCTGCTAGTTGCTCTGCAAACTTTGCATTCTCGCTCAAGAAGCCATAGCTAACAAGGACGTCAGCTTGTCATACATGAATGGGAAGATAATTTATGCACCCTGGATGGACAGCCTGTTATTGGTGCAATGCAAGTTCATAGTCAAGCTCCGTCTAACATGACAGAACTTGAGACTGAACCGACCTGAGCTCCGCTTCGATGACAAACATCGATTATCTTGTCCATGCGTAACTAAGTAAAGCAGCGTCAGCAGAAGACTACTAAATCAGAGGGATTATGAACGGACATAGCTCTCAGCTGAAGGCGCAGGGCCAATGCAGTAGGCTTCATCTGCTTCTAGTACATGCAGCGAGTTTGCGTCGACTTCGCTGTATACTGCTACGGTCTTTATTCCCAGCTTCTTTGCGGTGCGGATCACGCGGCACGCAATTTCCCCCCTGAGGACAGGTCAGACAAGTTAGACGATAAGAACGACTTGAAAGCCACCTGTTTGCAATCAGTATCTTGTCAAAGTGTGGCTTTCTTTCAGGTGATAAGGTATCTAAATGATACTAAGCCCATTTCGCACAGAGGGAGAACACCACGTACTCTGAACGGCAGTTGCAAATCTTCTCCGTGAAACAGCAGGCTGTACCAGCATTCTAGGTTGGCACGCCATGGAATCCATCACAGAAGCCTTCGTTTGGAAGGTCCGTGCATGTTTCGTGCTACTGCTCACGTCTGAGGCCAACAAGGTCCGTGGAATGGAATAAACATGGGTGGAAGAGCGTAAGAGAGATGATGCTGCTGCTCGATTTGTGGGTATCATTCTGCGCGTTGCTTTCGTCAGCTCTTGGATCTTGAGCGCAACTTCAGTGAGTGGAGATGCAAAAGAGAGGTCAATAAGTAGTTCTTCGGACTCAAGGTCCTTCCGCGAACCGATCACGTGGAAAGTGTACTTCTCGGCCCAGGTCATTCCGATAACCGATGCGGCTATTTCTCGGGGGCCATCTCATCTCTGCACGCGTTCTACGCACAAGCAAAAGGGCATTTGTATCATAAATTTTCATGCTCGCTCGATTTTTTCGTTTATCCAGAGCACATCCAAAACTTTTGTACACACCGAGTTCTGTGTTCTTAACTTGTGCGATGTCCCGTCGCCCAATCTCAACATCACCAACCCCTGGGCCTCAGAACGATTCGGAACGACCACCCAAACGTTCACGAATCGACCATCTTACACCAGATTCCTTCAGAAATGGGATATTTCTCGCACCAATGGTTAGATCTGGTGCTCGTACGTGCCGGTTCTGTATTCTACGATCCCATCCGAGTTAATGCAGCTTTAAATCACAGTACCGACGCGATTAATGGCTCTCAAGTATGGTGCGACGCTTGTTTGGGGCCCTGAAATAGTAGACAAGGCTATATTACATGCAGAACGCGAGGTTGACCGTATGTTCGACTTACTACGTATCATTTCCACTGATCGACTTGTTTTCTTCAGCTGTTACCGGTGTCATCTCATACAACGGCAAGAGTCGCGCCATGTTTACGACTCATCCTCTCGAAAAACCATACCTAATATACCAAATCGGTTCCGCTGACCCCGAGCTTGCGGTGCAAGCAGCCAAAACTGTCATGCAGGACGTTTCAGGCGTTGACCTCAACTGCGGGTGCCCCAAACCATTCAGCACACACGCTGGCATGGGCGCGGCTCTATTGACGAATCCTGACCTTCTTTGCGGCATATTGGAGGCTCTGAGGAGGGAATTGCCGAAGGAAATCAGTGTATCGGCGAAGATCAGACTACTGTCGACTCAGGAAGAAACGAAGAAGTTGGTAGAAAGGATTGCAAGGACAGGTGTGAATGCGATCACAATACACTGTCGGACGAGAAATATGAGGCCGAGAGAACGAGCATTGATTGAGAGGCTGAGAGAAATCGTTGAATTTGTGAGGGGGCTGAATTTGGATGTGGCGATAATTCAAAATGGAGATTGTACAGGAAGGGAAGATGCAAAGCGCATCAGGGATATCACCGGTGAGTTTAATCGCGGAGGTTATGCTACTACATATATTCTTACACACCCTTCAGGCGCAGACTCGGTCATGATTGCAACTGCGGCAGAGTCAAACCCATCGTGTTTCGCCGCGACACCACTTCGAGATGTCGAGTCAACACTTTCCCCTTCATATGTGCGCCTCTGCAAATACTTGGACAACTACTGGGCCTCTACGAAATTTAGTGTCACTCAATTCAAGGGTACTCGCGCAGAGGTGTCGAAGACGGATGCACACGAGTTGAAGTCGAGGGTAGCTAAAGCCAAGGGGTATGAAGACCTCGAGGACATTGTTGGGAGCTGGACGGGTAAGGAAGAATTCAAGGAGATTACGAGGATTGTGGAAGCACGTCCACCGCGGATATCCGCAGAGGCAGAGCAGGAAGAGGTAGCAGAGGAAGAGGATATACCTCCACCGTGTGCAACACCCCCTGACCGCCCTAACCCTGAACCGCCAACATCTGGCGCACCGAAAATGGGCCTCAGAATGCCTATGCCCGCAATCTTAACAGGCAGCCATATGGTCTCACCTACACCCACTCCTGGTGGCATGCGTTGAGGTCTCTTTCACTTCACGACACATATATCTAATACTTTTATTAGCATTTAATTAATTCATTAGTGTTTCGAAGCAAGTCCTAAGATATTAAGTATGATCGAAATGAGACCGGGGAGACTGCATCTGATGCATTTTTTTTGGGTTCTAATAAGTATGCAGCGTTCCTATTTCCTCCCCACTCATCCAAATTATTTCCGAATGACTCGCCCTACGACGCGATCCACACGTCGGATAGTTTTTTAGATGCGAACGCGCATGAAGGGGTGTGTACGGCTTATGGTGGTTATGCCTGCGTTTGACCCGGTTGGTTTGAGAGGGCAGTGGTAAAAAGTGCCGCATTCTGGTGGAGTTGCTTGGAAGACGAGGATCATCTCGTCACATCAAGCGAGAGAGCTGGTCTCGGATGGGATAATGCGCTTAAAGGCGCGCGCGTTGTAGACACCTGTTATTTGGCACCGAATATCTTCTTCAACGCGTTCTTGCCCTGTTTTTTCTGCCCGTTGGAAGCGCCAAGCACCTGGCGGAGCTCTGCATACATAGCATGTGTTTCACGTGGGGACTGTGTTTGACCAAAAACAGCGAATGCGTTTGAGGATGCGGGCGGGGAGGCGAAGAGGGAGAAGTGGGTGTTAACGTTGAGGGTGGTGTAAGACATCTCGAGGTATTTGTTTAGAGACGAGTGTGTGATTTAGATATTCAGTTCGGAGGCTGAGGGTGCTAGTGCTGATGATGAGTAAAGTGAGGGACATCGTGCTGCTTAAGTATCAGGATGCTGGGTGCTCTGACGACGGAGTGTCTGGAAATCAAGGTTCGAGTGTCGACCGTCTTCAAGTTAATTAACCAATTTAGGAAATTTCGAATACATGGACCCATAACAATCGATCCCGGGAGACAGAATCCGCGGAAACATTACTAGAATAGGAAATAATGCCAGACAATCGAAGGAGGGTATTTGCCGATGTTTGTAAAACTCGAACCAACCATTGAACAAGATCTTTGAAACATACATTTGACATTAAGACTTCGGGCTAGGATGATCGTTGCGACTCGACTCGAATCTTATATATTGTCCGACGTCGCACCTTTGATATGGTCTTTGTAAACACTTCAACATCCATCACATCGTCCGCGACTAATTTTTGCATTGCTCTCTGTAATGCTGACTGTGCTAGAGTAGCGGGCGATCACTCGCTATTATGGAGTGGCGCATGTTTGTGCTCAGCGCTATTAGACTCGTAAGCACTGACCTGATTGCGTCAGAATTCGACAGAGCGCAAATCGAAATTGCTATGTCGCCTTTAGGAGCTATAAACACGCCCGCGTAACAGCATTCACCATCAAATACTACCATGTCATCGCAAACTCATCTTGCATTCGCAAGTACGGCTATTGGAATAACGTCTGTCATTCAGGTCCCAACACCATCTCCTGGACCCGGTGAGGTCTTGGTCAAAGTGGCATTCAGCGCAGTGATACCTCTTGACACATACCTGGCGGATTACGGTCGAACCACAAATGGCGAATACCCCGCCGTATTAGGCCTCAATCTTAGTGGAGTTGTGGAGGCTGTTGGCTCTGGTGTGAATGGCCTGCAGACGGGAGACAAGGTCAACATAAATATTTGTGCGAAATAAACGAACACTTCTGATGCCCATCTTGTTTTCTAGGTTTGCGGATTCGCCACGGGTGGATCAAAGGAGAAGGGTTTACAAGAATATGCAATCATACACAGTTCCACCTGCGCCAAGGTTGGGACTAAATTACGTTTTTAATGCAAGTACTAATCAGATTCGCAGCTCCCCGATGATTACTCGCTCGAAGCAGCTGCAACAATCCCCGACAACTTTATAACTGCATTTTACACGCTGTTCGATCGTTTGGAACTTACTCCGCCAACGTTCCCCGTCTCTGTACCACCTCCCCATGCAGAGACTCCGATCCTTGTTTATGGTGCGGGAGCTACGTCTGGTCAATACACTGTTCAGCTGTTGGCCCTTGCTGGGTACAACCGGATCATCGCAACCGCGTCCCCTCGCCACCATTCTTACCTCAAGTCTCTTGGCGCCGCCTATGTCATAGACTACAGTGCTGATGACATGCCCGAGAAGATCCTACTCGCTGCAGGCAACAATCTTCAATTTGTTGTGGACTGCATCAGCTCTGAGGGCACACTCAAAAGCATATCTAGTGTCGTTAGCTCCGACGGTGTGGTCGCCATGCTATTGCCAGTGACGGAAGGCAGCAGGCATGTTGCAGGGAAAGACACGCAAATGTGGATGGAGTTACCTGTCGACAGAAACCCCTTCCCAGATTCGGTGAAACTTGTGGGCGTGAGGACGCTGTTGTATAAACAGGTGGGTATCTTGTGAATGCCTTGATCACGCATATTAATCAGTTGGTGCAGAATGAGTACCTTCGTGACAATCTGATGCCGAAGATCCTCCCTCAACTGTTGGAGGAAGGCATTATTCGACCCAATCGAGTTCGCCTATTTGATCAAGGATCTCTACAAGATCGCTGCCAAGAAGCTCTTGATGTCGTACGGAATGGACAAGTGAGCGGAGAAAAGGTGATCGTGAAATAGCATCCATGTAACCCTCGTGACCAGCACTTCTAGACCAGCCCCTCTATGGTCACAAGTCTTATCTTACAATTCAAGTTCTCATGGTATCGTAGCACTTACTTATAAGTTGTCCCGTTATCGTGATGTTGGGTGCAATTCACTCGTCAAGGTCCTTTGTTATCCGTGCTAGGCCTACAACCGCTCTTCGTCTCCCACAATACCCCGTTTTTGCACTCGCTTCAGAACACAACAATAAATGTCTACTATCATCACACCTGTTTCGACGCCTAACGCATCCTTGGCCATTGGGCCATATTCCCAAGCCATCAAAGTTGGCGAATTCGTGTTCGTTTCGGGTTGCATGCCTATCGTACCTTCCACGATGCAGATAGTCGAAGGTGGTATCGAGGAGCAAGCCAAACAGGCCCTCGCAAACCTCAAGGCTGTCCTCGAAGCTAGTTCTAGCTCAGTCGGTAAAGTCGTCAAGACTACGGTATGTTACTCGCAGGGTCGTCTCCTCAAATCTTGTGTGGACGATGATGCATGTAATACATAGGTGTTCCTGAAAAACATGGACCACTTTGCTACCATCAACAAGATTTACGAAGAGTTCTTTAGCGTTTCGGAACACAAGCCTGCACGGTCGACCGTTGAAGTTGCTCGGCTTCCGAGAGATGTTTTGTTTGAGATCGAGTGCATAGGAGGTTAGTCGCTCATACCAAGAACGTCTTCCAGTGTACTGATAACGCGCCTTTTCTATTCAATATCAGTTGCAACCAAGTGATTCGTAGCTCTTTATGACGAGAATTGATATGTAAATCATTGGATATACGCTCGAAAGAGCATCAGAATGTACAAATAGGAATGGCACTTGTTTTTTTAAGACGCACCCTGCTTATGAAAGATCAGAATGTCAGTCTATTGGGACTGACTTGCTGATTGCACTAGCTTGCTAGTGGTCACAGGAGATCCTTGCACTGTTTTTATTTAGCGTAGCTCACTGTAAAAACAGAATATCTTCGGTCAACTGCGAAGCCTCGAACCGTCGTAGACACTCGAGTCGGACAGGATCGACCATTGAAAATAGTGACACATCTCAAGTACTTTAGAGGGTATAGTGCTCACGAATTTGACCTGAATGTAAAAAAGGACAACCCGTAGAATGAGCAACGATTACAGTAACGAGATACCAGGGAACAAGTTCGAGATAAGTCAGAAGCAGAAACAAAATCGGTCGCCTGCATGCTTGCCTGAGTTGACAATCCCTGGGTGTGAGCCAGGAATGGGGGGATAGGGAGGAGAAACATGGTTATCGTCGCGCATGAGGTCATTATCCAGGGCCAGGAGCACCCGCTGCAGCGTTCCGCTATACAAGGATGCATGTCATTTGTGAGACACGCATACATATCAGTTTACCCGGCACGAGAGGGACATCGACGATGGTTGGCGATGCATGGTGGCATCTGTCTGAAGGGGCCACCACGCTGATAGTCGGTGTAGGCGGGATTTGAGGGTCGGGGAAGCATTGATGGTGGTGGATTGAGCAGTGGGTGGTGCTGGTGTGGGCACTAGAAGAGTAAACTGGATATGTGATTATGGCGGTCGGCACTCAAGTACTCACAGCTTGATCACGGTGCGATCATAGAAAGAGCCAGCGAGAACAACAAGATCAGAAGAGAATGGATCATTGATGTCGTAAGTGTGTTTGAAAGGAGCTCCGACAGTCGTCAACGCGAGGTTGTGGCGGCCCGGCCGTCGTGACTCGTGGGCCTGAGGGTTTTCGTAAGACTGAATGCGCCTACATTTTATCTTTTGTTGTCCAGAAGACGTATCGTTTCGGGCGTATCGGATCCGTCACTTGTGCGGATATAATCGATTCAAGTAGATGTTGGTTCCAATCTACCTGTCAAGATCTTTAAGATTCTTGCGTGCTGGGTCTTCCCGTTGTAGGATCACTCTTCGTCCCCCGCAACACCCCGCTCTTGCACTCACCATCAAAACACAACGACAAATGTCTACGATCACATCCGTTTCGACGCCCAACGCGCCCTCAGCCATCGGGCCATATTCCCAAGCCATCAAAGCTGGCGAATTCGTGTTCGTCTCGGGTTGCATCCCCCTCGTACCTTCCACGATGCAGATAGTCGAGGGCGGTATCGAGGAGCAGGCCACGCAGGCCCTCGCGAACCTCGAAGCTGTTCTTGAAGCTAGCTCTAGCTCAGTTGGCAAGGTCGTCAAGACTACGGTATGTTGTCGATACGGTGGTCTTTGAATCGAATCTAATGGATGCGTGGACGATGGTGCATTGCATAGGTGTTCCTTAAAGACATGGGGGACTTTGCTACCGTTAACAAGATTTATGAGGAGTTCTTTAGCAGTTCGGAGCATAAGCCTGCACGATCGGCCGTTGAAGTCGCTCGGCTGCCGAAAGATGTTTTGTTTGAGATCGAGTGTATAGCGGGTCAGTCTTTCATGCTATGAACTCCTTCTAGTGTTCTCATAACGCGCTATTTCAATATCAGTGGCAAGCAAGTGATTCATGGCTCTTTATGACGAGGAGCACCGCGAATTGATATGTAAATCGATGGACACACGTGCAATAACAAATTCATGCATTAAACATTCGGAAGAGCATCAGTTTGGGCGAGCACAGAATTTAGAAAATGGCGCTTGTTTTCTGAGACGCTCCCCAGCTGCTTATGAAAGATTGCACTAGCTTGGACACAGTAGATCCTTGCACCGTTTTTTTCCAGCTTGGTTCACTGTAAAACAAAATACTTTCGGTGAACTCCAAAGCCTCGGACCGCTGTACACACTAGAGTCTGTGTACACACTGGAGTCTGGATAGGATCAACCATCGGGACTATTGATGTATCCCAAGCGCTTTAGCGGGAATAGTGACCATGAGTTCGACATCAGTGTAGGAAGGACGATACATGAAATGAGTAGCAATTACAGTAACAATATACCAGGGAACAAGTTCGAGATCGACTAAAAACAGAAACAACATCGACCGCTTCCATGCTGTCCGGAGTTGTCAATCCCTGGGTGTGAGCCGGGACTTGGAGAAGGGGGAGGAGAAACATAATCCTCGTCGCGTATCAAGTCACGTTCAGGGCCGGGAGCACCCGCTGCAGCGTGCCGCTATATATGGATGAGATATGGAATACGACGAGAAAAATGAGACGCGCATACCAGTTTACCCGGCGCGTGAGCAACCTCGACAACAGTCGGCGATGCATTATCTGTCTGAAAGGGCCAGGTTGATAATCGATGTAAGCCAGTTTTGAGAATCGCGGAAGCATCGATGGCGGAGGATTGGGTAGTGGGTGGTGCTGATGTGGGTTGAAACTGGAAGAATGTAAGCTTAATATGTGATTATGGTGGGCCGCACTCACATTCTCGTCTGGTGTTAGAAGTGGACGAGGAAGGGGAGATGTAGCAGGGAACTGCGAGGGAAACCGTCGAGTCAACTAAGAAGAAAACAGATAAGAGAAACATACATACATCCAGGGGATTACGGGGCTTATCGGTGCGAACCGTGCCTGTGCGAGGAGAGGAGGAAAAGAGCTTGCGTAGAAAGTGGAGGCGAGCGTGTGGATCCCTGGCAGGCAAAGGTCGGGGGATAGGAGACATGGCAGGTATTATTACTGGTTTACGGCGCACAGAACGGGGTGTTGCATCGGACTGTAACGAAGGATGCAATGTGGTGTAGATGAAGGAAATGGTGAATCACGTACATTGAGTAAATCAGCATGGGGTAAACGTTCAGATTTACTTTTCTGTCAGAGATGTTAGCATACAAATGATGGTTGTATGCGGGGAATACATACACCAGGTTGCGATTCTTCAAGCCCAATGCTAGCAAGGATGTTGGCTGGAATGTTGCATATATAAATATTGGTGTCATCCCAAGATGTGTAAGCCAGTTGGCGTGAATCGGGCGAGAGGACGGGGTTCATAGGAGATTCCGAGACGTGGAATGAAGCGAGGAGTTGGCGGGACTCGAAGGCCCACAACTTAATGGTGTAATCATGGAAAGAGGCAAGGAGAATATCATGATCAGATGAGAATGCTAGACCACTGATGTTATCAGGGTATTTGAAAGGGGCTCCGACAGTCTTGAGCGTCAACGCGTGAAGCTCATAGATTGTCGATGTTTCCCAGTTCTTGGTGAATGCGCCTACAATGGATTTGTCTTTTGTCGTCCAGAAGACCGGCAGACGTAGTAACCCCCAACTGCTAGGAGTAGATACAAGCAATTTCTGTGCCTGAACATCCCACACCTGAAGGTAGAACTCTCCGCAAACTGCCAGCTTCCAAGAGTCTTCCGAGAATCGAAGGGACGTTGGGCGATGATCGTCGGGCTTACCCGTTTTGAATGGACCAGCTACGTCGGGTTCGCCTGTGTCCAAGCTCCATATCAGTACTGTCCCATCGAACGTCGCACCCGCTACCAATTGCATGTTGTCATCCGCGGAGATATCGATGTGGCTGATCCCTTCTTTGTGGAATGTTCTCACAATCCCCGTCTCAACCTCACTGACTTTGAGATCCCCACCACTAGCGGTGACAACCCATTGACCATTCCTTGATAACCTCTCCTCGTTTACAAAACAATCCCGAACCTCCCGAGCCTCTTTAATCTCCTTACCCTCCCGCAGGTTCCATCGCCGAGTTGTCTTATCGCGTGATCTGCTGATCTGGAAACTACCTAGGAGGTAGAAACACTCAGACGGAAATAACGAGTAGAAGCGTATGCAATTCGGATCAGGGTAAGAGGCGATAACTAATTACAAACATATGAGCGCGGTATAAGTAAGGGGCAATAGGCATCCTGTAAACAGCAACAAATACAGAGAGGTGTCCAATCAACGAGTCCGATGCGTAAGCCATGTTTACACCCTCCCAACCTATGAAGACTCTTTTTGCTGCTCCCATGCGTCCAGGGCTTCGCAATCCTTGAGGTCACGTCGGGGAGCCATTCGTCTTCATCGGCCCCAAACCCAAGCCATCGCACCAGGTACCTCTTTCCTTTGCCAACCTTTTTCTCATCGACAATCTTTTCAATGAAGGTTTCTACTTGACCATCCTCGGTCACTACCGGTCCAGGATGAGGGTTTTCGCGGGAGGGGAATAGTTCTGAATTGTTGGCGTGGAAGGGATGTAGTTGCGACGAGTGGAAGGTGGGGAAGATATTGGTAGTGGTGCCGAAGTCCGGTTCGGTTCGGTTCTTAGGCCTCTAAATGCGAACGCCGAACTGGACCATCGGTCGCGTTCAGGCAAGGAGGACGAACGCTGGACCGGACGCTGATGAACACGTTCACAAGCGTTCGGTTCGAGTTCAGAACGCGTTCGAACGCTCGAACGCTACATATAAATTGACAAAAATTGCAAGAAATACATGAACAGTAAATGAGTAGCTAAATTTCGTCCATGGCAGAGTGTTCTTGAGCAGCAGCAAACTCAGCTTGAACCGTTGCGGAAATATGGCCTTGACGGTACCCACTTTTCACAGCCGTCTTCGGGTTCTTGGGTGTGCGGATTGATGCGTCCCTTCTCCTGAGTAAATACTACCTTCAAATCCCCACTGCGCTCCTCTTTCTTCTTATGCTTGCGATCCTCATGATCCTTGTCTCCAAATACCTTGGTCCGCTTGTAAGCTTCTTCGGCCTCTTCTTCATCATCTGAGCAATCTTCTAGTGCAGGGGGTTCGTCATCATCGTCATCATGGGACCCACGTTGCACTCGCTTGGGTGTGGGCTGTCCTTGGGGAGGCACTGGAGCCACTCGTTTGGCAGCTTTGGCTGGAGCTGTGTTGCCAGCATTGCAGATTTTTTCTGTCAGTTTAATGGCTCGGCCTGAGTGAGACACGAAGGCAGTTAGCTTGCCATTGGATGCAGGAGGCGGAGGTGGAGCAAGCATGGGGGTGTCATCGTCGGGATCATTGTACCAATCGATGGCGCTAGCGTCTTTGAGTTGGCCATTGGATCCAAGTGCGCAAGACATTCTCGCAGCCAGAAGGGTGAATATTGTACCTGTAGTAGCTCATTTATACCAAAATTTGTGGTTAGAGATTAGAAAAATGCGACACACCTTGAACATATTGTTGCCATGCAATGACTGCAACAGTTGATTGATGTTGAAGCAAAAGCAAGTACCTGAACGAGCATCCCAAAGATATGTTCTGAACATAGATTAAATTATAATCCTAATAACGATTAACATAGGGCTTACCAAAACGTTGAATAGATCACAGAGGAAGTCAGACATCACTAACAGAAATGCATTCAGTCTTTTGGTCGTGAAGTAAGAGCCGTTCTGGAGATCAATGCTCCCAGAACTGCCAATGGCCATATGAGTTTGTTGCCAGGTGATCAGAAAAAATATTAGGATAGATGGATAGCAATAAGCTGAGGACCTCAAGCGGATCATAGACAGAAGGAAAGAACCGTTCGAACACATTGAACGGGTCCAGACTGGGTTCACAAATCTGAGGCATCAGCCGAATGCTGAACCTAATAATAGGTTCGGTTCTTACTGTAGGCTGAACCTCGGACCGAATGGACAGTCCGGTTCGGAAGGGTTCACATTCGAACCGAAGTTGCGAACCGGACTCCGGCATCACTAGATATTGGGGGAGTTTGGCAGATCGAGTGTATATGTCGACGTTTTGGGGTGCGATTCGAGAATTGTGTATGGTCCATCGAACCTTGGCATAAACTTAGCAACACGCTTATCTCCCTTCTGCATATAATCCTGACAACAATGCTTTGTTGAAAGCATAACCTTGTCTCCGATGTTGAGGGACAGTTCGGCCGAGCAATGTTTATTGACTTGTGTTGCTTGTGAGGCCTTGGCGGCGAGCAAGCTGTCTTGTGCTTCCATGATGTTGTATTGAAGCTGTGTCAAGAGTAGACAAGCACGTTGTTCGTCTGGGGTGTCGTTCATCACTGGTCATTGTAAGGGTGGTATGATTTGGGGCGAGCATCCAATGTGAAGTTGAAAGGGGGAGGTGTTTGTGCTCGTGTTGAGGGAGTTCATGATTTGGAAGTGTACGTGTGGCAGGGTGCATACCCAACCCTTCTGATTTCTCTCGACGTGGAAACGGATACATTGATTGATTGTTTTGTTAGACCTTTTGCTTGCACCATCGGTTTGAGGGTGATATGATGATGAAAGCTTTAACTTAATACCCGTTAGTTTGTGCAATGACTTCCAAAACCGGGAAAGAAAAAGCTTATCACAGTCGGACACAATGTCCAGCGGCAGTCCATTCTCGCAATACCAATCGTCGAAGAAGAGTACGGTGAATTGTTTGGTGGAGATGCTGTCATGACAAGGAATGATTCGTAAGTCTGCATTTAGTCGATCCATCATGGTGATGATGGTATTATAGCCTTGGTCTTCTGGTAGTGGTCCAATAAAGTCAATGGCCACCGAGTCCCCTCTCATGTCTGGGACCGGCAGTGGGTGCAATGGGCCAGCGATGGATGTTGTTGATGATTTGTTCCGCATACATTCGATGCAACTTGGGATATAGGATTTGAGAAGATCCCTTCTCATGTTGGGCCAGTAGTAAGCTGTTCTCAGCATCGTGTAAGTCTTGTTGCCGCCGAAATGTCCCGACACATCGTGCGCTAAATGAAACAGTTTCTCCTGTAACAGATTGACTTGTGGAATGACGAGACGGTTAGCGACAAACAGGAGACCCTTACGTTGTTCCAAGCTGGGGAGGGATCCAACGAGAGCGGTAAGCTTCCTGCAGAAAGGATCATCAACATACCCAGCGACGATGTCTTGAGCGAATGAGTCGTTGAGGTTGATTTGAAATGATGAGGTGACAACGGCTAGGGAACTGCGTGGGTACGGGTAACCCGCACGGGTCACAGGTAGGGGTACTGCTGGGGTACGGGTATGGGTCTGAGGTCATGATACCCCTACCCCTACCTGTACCCGCGCTGCGGGTATCAGTCACAATGGGCACCGAACGGATGCCAAACAGGTGCTAGTAAAATTCAACTATGTAAATACGAAACTATACAGCTGCCAACTGTCAAACTCTAAAGACAAATATAAAATCGTACCACGCCGCCCGCGAACCTTTGTCACCCACTAGTGCTGCCCATCATGCAGCTCAGCTTTGCAGCCACAGTGAAACACGTCATCAAAATGACCGGAAAGGTGAGAGCCACTCTAGAAGAAAAGAGTTTAAAAACATCATCAAAGAAGCGGAAAAATGATGGTGGTGGAGATAGCGCGAACACACACCTTAAGAAGGCAAAAAATAACCTGCAGGCTGGTAATACTCCCACCAGCAGTGTAGGGTCTGCAGATGAAGATGAGCTGGTTGAGAAAAATAGCTCTGTCACAGCTTCACGGACAGTGTCCATGTCTCCATGTCCAGAGTCCAGACTCAGTCTCGAGTCGGCGTGCCCTGGTGTGCACTGAGGAGGAAGAGAATGCAATGAATGAAGACAAAACTGAGACCAGTAGCACTGTATCACAGGCTGAGGTGGAAGCCAACGAGACTGCGGAAGATGAGCTTGGTATGTGCAGAAGCCTTGATGTGAACATTACATTAATTGAGTACCAAACAGCACACTTAATGAAGGACTGGAACTCACCAGTCTATGTGTTCTTCAATCTGACATCACAGATTACCGAACTTGATGGGCACCGTGCCCATAACTTCAAGTGCCAAGCTAGGAATTGCAAGACCAAAGTGCGACGATACCTTGACAAAGGTGATGCATGCTCCACCAGTAACATGCAGAAGCATGTGCGTTCGTGCTGGGGCGATGAAGTGTTGAAAGCTGCGGATGAGGCCAACGATGCCAACAAGGTGCGAGAAAATATAGTTGGTAGTTTCCTGCAAAACAGATCGATCACTGTGTCATTCAAGCGTAAGGGTAAAGGGAAAGTTACATACTCGCACCATCAACATACACGTGCAGGAACACGGTACGGACAAAGTCTTATCTGAGTCTTGGACTGAAACATCTGCCTTCAGGGCCGAAATAGTGAGCTGGGTGTCCAAGAGCCTGCGTCCATTCGATATCATCAAGGACCATGCATTTCAGTTGCTGATGAAGACAGGGAGACTGGAATATTACATACCTTCTGCCTCCACTGTTTCGCGTGACGTGCAACAAGTATTTGTGCGAACTCGACAGCATGTTGCTACAATGTTACAGGTAAGTATTTATCATTAATAAAAAAAATGAATATTCAAAACACACCAGGAATATGACGGTAAAATAAACTTTACTACTGATGGTTGGTCATCGCCCAACCATTGTGCGTTGGTCGCATTTTCAGTGCACTTCGAGCACGAGGGGGAACCACTAAGCATCCCATTAGACGTTGTTGAAGTGGGGAAGGTAAAAAAAACTCACCTATATAGATATATACGAGCTGAGAGCTTCATAGTCACATACCAGCAAGGAGCTTGTGGAGGTGTTTGCAAAAGTGCTAGAAGAATTCGGTATATCAGAAAAGGTATTGATCCAAAAAAAAATTGAACAAACTTACATGCAACTAAAACCGCATTGCACAGATCCTGAGCATCACTTGCGATAATGCGTCCAACAATGACGCTATGATTCATGAACTGAGCGGTAAGGTACTGGAATTCGGTGGACCAACCACTCACACTAAGTGTTTCCTGCACACTGTGAACCTGGTGGCCAAATCGTTGATCCGGGAATTCGATGTGAAGAAAGGAGAGGCTGACCAAGCATTGGCGCATAGTACTGACAGTACTGACATGGAGCTGGAAGAACTTAGTGCAGATATGGAAGAGGACACAGGGATGACGTACAAGGTAGATAATGATGATGGCTTTGTTGACGAGGTCGAGTTGTTGGACAAGAAAGAGCGGGCTGCACTAAACAAAGAGATAAGACCAGTCAAATTAGCACTTGTCAAAGTAAGTGCGTGCAACAAAAGAGGACTCACTATTGAACACAATTGCTCCAGGTGTGCAAGCTCACATACAAGACCATACATTTGACTACTATCATCCTTCCCACATGGCATGGCATCCTCAAGGACTTGTTGGAACCCCAAACCCTCATGCCATGCGATGTGGCCACACGGTGGAATTTGATGTTTGATATGTTGGATTACGCACTTGAACATTGTGAGGCCATAGATACCATTACGCAACGGCGAGACCTCGGTTTACGGAAGTATGAGTTGGAGGATAATGAGTGGGAAATACTACAGCAATTGCGTGATATACTAAAGGTTTGCACTCTTTGTTTGACGCTTTGGTGCATATGCTTATGTTATATTGTTTGCTCTTGTTAGATTCTAAAGGATGCCACGCTTTACTTCTCATGTGCAACACCTAACCTTGCGATGGTGATACCAGCAATGGATCATGTCAACAAGATGCTCACGTCCTATTTGTGCAACAAGAAATATATGCCTTCAATTCGTTTGGCAGTTCAGCTCGCAAAAAAGACACTCAACCGGTACTATCAGCTCACAGACAGGTCTCACACATATCGGATCTCCATGGGTAAGTTCTATTCAATCTAGGTTTTTTCTAGTTTCTACTGACGGTTAATATTATTATACTAGTGTTACATCCCCAACACAAGCTATCATACTTCAAGGCAGCAGACTGGGAAGACAACTGGATCCAAACTGCGGAGCAACTTGTGCGCGAGGAATTCGAATGTTCATACCTGTCCCTTGATGCCGACTCTGATTTGGGGCATGAGGCGGATGTCTTGGAGTCAAATGATAATATATTGATGGTATTTTGCTTTTTTGCTTTTTACTTAGTGTTTGTACTCACTCAATCTTAGAGCGACAACATTTTTGACAACCTCCCCGCACTTGCAGTCCCCAAACCTACTAACTCGGGCTCTGAACTCGACTGTTACCTTAGTACGGACGTGGAACATGTCACCAACCCTATCACTTGGTGGCAAGAACATTGCAAATCATTCTCCCACCTGTCGCGCATGGCCATTGATTATCTAACTATCCCTGGTATGTGGCATTATTATGTTTAATGCCTTGTAAGCTTACATTGCCTATAGCTACTTCTATAGACGTTGAACGTCTCTTCAGTCGTGGGCGTCTTGTCCTGTCACATGTCAGAAATTGTTTATCGGTGCAGTCGACACATGCACTGCTTTGTGTCGGCTTATGGAACAAGTTAGGCCTGGTCAAATCTGAGGATATCATTCATGCGTCTAAGCTCCCAGATATCGTTGGCGAAGAGGTAGCAATGAATGAGGCTTGGGACAGAGTCCAAGTAGATTAGTATTACATTTGTTGTTACAATTCATTACAATGCTCTTCGTAGTGACCTGCAGGTATACCCCTTGCGGGTAATACCCCGGGTCCATTTGGCTGATACCCGCAAGCAAACCCATACCTGCACCATGGGTATGGGTATATCTCCGGGTACGGGTATGGGTCCGACTGCGCACACCCATGGGTTTACCCGTGCAGTTCCCTAACAATGGCGGCAGTCAGTCGAATTTGATGATGCAATGAATGCTGTAGTGTTAGTTCTCTCTTCGTCTTCGATCTGGAGTCTGGACAATGTGTCAGCACCCGTATTCTCCTCACCCTTTAGATAAGAGATGGTGAGGTCAAAATGCGCAAGATATTCAGCCCAGCGGGCCTGTTGTTGGGACAGTCCTTTTTGCATTATGAAGTTTTTAAGGGTGCAATGATCTGTAAAAACTTGCATGGGCCCGCCGAGTAGCTCGACTTGCCACTTCTTAAGGCCATGAATGATCGCTAGTAGCTCTTTCTCATGCACTGGGTAGTTAAGTTCAGCTTCGCGTAGTTGAGTAGAATCAAACACCACTGGTCTAGCACTCTCCCACATCTCTCCCCATGACAACACCGCTCCAGTCCGATAATCGGAAGTGTCACATGTCAGAAAGATTTTGTTATTCCCAGGGTTGTCATGGTCGATGGTAGTCAAACACTGAGGGCTCATGACAAGATCCTTGATGCCTTGGAAGGCCACAGCGTGTTTCTCGTTCCAGAGGGGGAATTCAAGTTCAGCGGCCTTAGTTGTCAACGGTGTCAAAATTCTCGTGTGATCCGCAAGGGCGGGCAGATGGTTTGCCAAGTATCATACCAAGCCTAGGAAGGCGCGTACGTCGTTCGTTTTCCTTGGCATAGGCCAGTCTAGTATTCTTGCTACTTTTGAGGCATCGGGTTCTGTCTGCGACCAGATGATTATATCATCGAGATATACATGGCAGATTTTCCCGATTAAGTGGCGGAGTGTGGTCGACATGCGTCGTTGGTGTGTGGGTGCATTTTGTACCCCCATTGGCATGACTGTCCATTCATACAGGCCCCAAGGTGTGTGAACGGTGAGCAGTTTCATGTCGTCAGGGTGTACTTTGGTTTGAAAAAAGGAGTTAGTCATATCTATTTTTCCAAATATTTTACCTTTCGCGCAATCCTGCAGTATTTCATCGATTTGCGGTAGCGGATGATTATCTGGAACAGTGTTTAAGTTTAATTGCCGAAAATCATTCACCCACCTTGGTAGTGCGGTGGGATTGGCTTTCGGAATGATGAAGGCAGGCGAAGAGTGAGGACTGTCTGAAGGATGTAGGCGTCCAGCTGCGACATGCTGGTTGAGTAAGATCTTCCAGGCATCACGATACTTATGAGAACAGTTGTATCCCCTTTGCTGTATTTGTTTGCGTCTTTCAACCTCACGCAAAAGAGTATGTTGGATGGCAATGAATCGTTGTGAGGTATGTCTGATGGGAAGCGGTCTTTGTATTCGATCTTTATTGCAGTATCACAAAGTTTTAATTGCTCTGTGGAGGCAAGTGTTGTGATCCGTTGACAGATTGCAGCCACGATGTTGACGCCCATGACTGGTTCGCAGGAGTTGTCGACAAGTTGTTTGTATTCCGGCAAGATGTGCTTCAGTTCCTGAAAGACTTCATGGTGATACTTGCTCATTTTCGGTGGCGAAGGAACCACTGACTTCTGTAGAGGCTGGGGATTGAGTAGCTCGTAGTTTTGATCCTTCGCTGTACATGTTCGCACTTTGTGATCAATGACAATCTTGTTGTGATGGAGGAAGGGTCCACCCAGTAAAAGAGGGGTACAGAGGTTTGGAGCCACAATTGCGTGTACACTGCATGAAGTAAAATGGGAGTCAATTGAAATACATGTGAGTCTAACATAATCCAATAAAAGAAATGAGTCCTTCTGCTCTCCTGAAAGCACAATGTTGAATGGCATTGGGGTGTGTAGCTTTCTTCTTTTAAGACCCAGTTGTTCAACTAGCTTCTCGTCCATCAGAACTGCTGTGGAACTGTCGTCAATTAGTGCTTTAACACAGGAGGAGGATTTGGGACCGTCAATAAGACAGTCCCAGAGAAGTAAAGGGGTCGTTAGTGGGGCTACACACTCGTCTGAGTCTGTACCATCACCCAAGGCCACTGATGGCATCACAACCGCAACAGTGCTTGCAACGTCCACAGATGCAACCCTTCTGCCGTTCCTTTTGCCTTTCTTTGCTGCAATGGTGGCTGCGGTTACTGGCTTGTACGTGGTGCCGTCTGGGAACCCATTACCACAAGTTGCAGTTGTGTGTTTGGCGAACGGTTCGTGGCACTTGAAGCACCCGTCGTTCTTACGGAGAAGAGACTGTTCCTCGTCAGTGAGAGGTGGCACGTGTACAAAGGTGCTTGTTTTCCCACTTGTAGTACGTCCAGCCTTGGAGTTATACTGAGAGGATGAGGTAAGCTTCTTTTCGCTCACGTTTTTCAAACACTCTGCACAGAATGTTGGCAATATTACGGAGATGTTTTTCATCGAGGAGGCAGATCTTTTCTGTCCATGGATGGAATTCGGTGATTTCCCCGACGTTCTCCATCCTATATTCGGTGCGCAGGTCAGCATTCATATGCGCCTCGAGATGATAGCAAAGGTTAAGCTCTGTTAAGTGAGATGTGGTATTGCGGAGAAGGGCATTTAAACTTTGAACTTCGATCGCCCAATCTGAGAACACTTTGCTTCCCTGGCACGAGGATAGAAGTTTCTGACGAGTGGTGTTGGCCCAGTCTGAAGGGAGCCAATATGCACGAACTTCATCCATGTATTCGGCAAAGGTGAGCTCATCCATGCGTTCTTGATCATTGAGATACCACTCTTGAACAGAGGGTTCTTGCATGCCCCACACTACCTTCCCTACCTGCTTGTCGATGGGAATGTCCTTGTGTTTGAAGTACTGTTGGCAACCCATTTACCAGGTGCGAAGTACTTCAGGAGTGATGTCCCCGGGTGTTAGGAAGGGTGGTTTAGTTGGGGCAGGTTGATTGACGCGTGCTGTTTTGGTTGTAGACATTATTGGGGGAGTATATGCGGTGTAGGATAATGAGTCTGAGTCAGAGTCTGAAGTGTAACAACATTTGTGATTGTTTTTTGGTACTGTATCCGTAGATTGATTCTGATGCTCCTCATTATGTTCTGGTTCCGGTAGCGCAGGTACAACAGGTTCGGTAGGTGCGACAATTTGTCTGCTGCGGCTACACATAACCAAGGATTGAGTGACAGATGGTACAGAGCGAAGGTAAGGCAGTTTGAACTACGGTGGGAATGTAAGACAGTCAGTTCAGTGATTTATCTCCTTGTTCAGGAGATATGGTTGAGACAGTCAATACAACTATCTAGGTCGTTAAAAAAAAGTGGAAACTACCTAGGAGGTAGAAACACTCAGATGGAAATAACAAGTAGAAGCGTATGCAATTCGGATCAGGGTAAGAGGCGATAACTAATTACAAACATATGAGCGCAGTACAAGTAAGGGGCAATAGGCATCCTGTAAACAGCAACAAATACGGAGAGGTGTCCAATCAATGAGTCCGATGTGTAAGCCATGCTTACATGATTAGTGCTGCCGTGGTCTGGTTCAGTCCGGTTCAGAGGATCTTCAACAAGAACCGAGAACTGGACCAACAGTTCGGTTCGGCAAAATTGTTGAACCCAGAACCGGACCGTTGAGAACCATTCTCAATGGTCCGGTTCAGTTTTTTTTGTGGTCCAAACTCGAACCAAACCATAAATTTTTCTATAGGGACAGCAAAAAATAATTGACGAAATACTAGCTACACATTGAGTAACTAGTCTAATAAAATTTGTGCATACCCCTCTGCCTCTGTAGCTGCCGAAAGATGTCCATTACAGTAAGCGGCCTGTCACAACCCAATAACGAATTAACGCTGGGCGGAGACTAGGACTCGTACTAAGGTTATCACAACAAGGATGATAATAAGCAGGTACGTCTTGGATTGCTACAGTGTAGAAACAAGAGGTTTGAACTAAGGAACTATCGACCAAGACATGCTACCTATATACAACTATTGAGACGGAGATTGAAACTGAGTTACAACTACTAGCCAATCATAAAAAGAGAAAGGGAATCGTACCATAGAACATTGTAGAATATTAAAGAAGCATCACGTGACCATATCTTATCTTATCGTATCTAATCTAATCTAATCTAATCACAATCAAAGAACTCGTCTTCTTCATCAGTCACATCGAAGACACGTGTTGTGGGCGCCAAGGGTATTTCTGAACTGGTAGACGCTTTCGGGGTAGGGTTAGGGTT